CATTGTATCTCTTGTCACTACCACCCACACACTCCATACCGGTCTTTCTGCGATTTTTGGTGATGGGCACATTGAATGGCTGAAACATCATTGCGTGTCGATGTCCTTTCCGATATTTTTATATATTCATATTTTTTAATTTTATCGATGATACTTCATGTTCCTGTCAGAATATTAAGCAGTAGAAGCACTTGGTTTATGCAGTGCTCGTTTTCTTGGAGTGCTAGGGCGTTTAAATGCTTCTGACGTTTAGTATAAATTTCTTGCCTATTTTTTAATCTATAACTCTACATCTGGTACAGGCGTAGGTGCGATAACATGTTTCTAACAGATACTACACTTCAAAGTAGAAACAGAACCTCTCCACATACAAATTGTTGTATGTCTTAGACAAGAATTTAGTTTCTGACAGCTTGAATGATCAGATGACTGACTCGGAATTCGAAGATTTCGTCACAGACACCACTGAATCAGCATCTTCAAATGAGAGCAAATCACTGCATCGACCTTAAATACTTTGATGATATAACAAGCCCGGAATTCGATCTGAAAATGTTTTGTATGGCAGCTAGGAAAAAGAAATAGACCGGCATATGGAAGTTTGTTCTCTGATAACCAAAAACCAGGGCTTTTACCCGATTGGTGTTATCGCCAGTAAAAAGCTGACGAGCATCAAATTGGATATCCTGTTTTCAGGCACGCTCGATAATGGATTTGAATGCCTCACCATTTTCCTCGAATTCTTGCAGTAACGAATATGGAACCAATGTGACGGAAAATCTCAATAATTTTTCTCTGCAAGCCACAAATGGGCTGTCGGAGGACTTCAGATTATTGAAAATTGTCTGTGACTGCATTATTTTGTTGGGCAGTTCTTTCGGGAACAGTCTCGTCATTTACATCATTGCAAGCAACGTTCGTATGCGAACACCGTCGAACATTTTAATTCTGAACCTCGCTGTGTGTGATTTCATGACACCTGTGGTCAGCCTTCCCTTTGACTTTGTTCTTCAAGAGTATAACTACGTCTGGACGTTTGGCACAGCAACATGCAAAATTCTTTGGCCCTTAACGTCCATGACTTCCACTTCAGCTGCTTTGACATTGGCGGCGATCTCCTTGGATCGTTATCGTACGATAATGCACCCGTTTAAGTCTCGACTTACAATGGTTAAAATCAAATTCATCATTGCGGGAATCTATGCTTTTTCTCTGCTAATGGTCACGCCGTATTCGTATATGCTGGATGTAGATTGTCACCAGTGCCACGAAAAGTGGCCTGGCATCTTTTACAAGAAATCTTACACATTGGCCCTTTGCATGGTACGATATTTTCTTCCTCTGTTTTTCATGATGGTGATGTACGCTTTGGCTCTAAAAAATCTGTACACGAGTACAGATAAAACGAGGTCTGGTAAAACGCAGAAAGAAAAGGCAGCCGTCAATAACAGCCAAATGGTGAAGGAGGCGACTTCTCCAGAACCTTTGAGAAAGGTTTCGTCTACTGTTCGTCTAGTACGAAAGTTATCATCGACTGTGAGACGAGGAACGAACGAAGCAAACAAACAGGCGACCAAAATGTTCATCGTGGTAGTGGTGGTTTTTACTATTTGCATGTTCCCTAATCAAGCTCTATGGTTATGGGCGGATTTTAGTTCTAGTGCAGGAGAGATCAAATGGTTTTCACAGGCTATTGTTATTTGCTGGCTTTTTACCTACTCGAACAGCGTGTGTAATCCTGTTATCTACGTAGCGTTCAGCCGCGATTTCAGGAGAGGCTTCAAACGGGTTCTGAGGAGATTGTTCTGCTTCCGTCGCCACAAGCTAAGAAGTGGTTCAAACGCGCATTTAGTGGCTAAACTAACCTCAGAGTTGAAAGGAGCTGCCTCGAACACGGAAGGAAGAAAGAGGAAGAAAGCAGACGTCAAGCAACCACAGGTTTACCTTTTATAAATCGCTTTAAAAAGACGTCTTAATGAAGTTTAGAAAAACTATGATCAAGCTTCCATTTGGAGGTGCTTGTCGTTATCCTCACCTTGAAGAAATGCGTTTGCAAACATTGCTGTCTCAGTAGTTAAGTTCACTTTACCCTGATACAACTACAACCCCGGACAGGTTTTCATTTTAATGTTCAGAAAGGATGGTTGTCCCTTTTTTATAATACCCCCATCCCCCACTAACACTTTAACTAGCTTTGTTCAATATTGGGCCAGGGGCGTGGAGAAGAAGGGAAAAAAGAGGTAAAAAGTAACAGTCTTCCCAACACTTTTACGATGATTGTAGTTTCCTAGAGATTTGAGAAGCTAACTATGATAAGTACCCAGTTAGGGTATGATCCAGCATGCCAGAGAGGGGAATTTAGGATCAATCGTTTTTGTGAACTGTATTTTACGTGTTCATTTTTTCTTCCACGTTTTCAGAATCTTTGAGATTTGAACAGATACGGGAATGATAGAAGGGATTTAGTCCTTTAGCGTACTTGTTATAGAGCCTTCCCAGTTCGAGATCTGGTAAAAAGAATTTCCTCATTCTGAAAATAATTGGCAAGGATTTGTTGCCCGAGGCCTTTCCATTTTCAGACAACGATTACAATAACCCTGCCATCTTCAGTCGGCAATACTGTAATTATCTTAGGCTATAAGCATGCAGAGAAATAAAATGTCCTATTTTAATGGTCATATGTCTCTGCGGAATCGTTGCATTGATATCAAAGATAACAGCTGTGAATTTCAAGAGTCTCTTGAAAAAGTAAGTCTTTTCTTTCACGTGTGTCGTCCGTTAAATGACTGAAGCTGAACCGGTGTCGGGGTTTTCTATTCCCTGTGCTTGGGTATTAGAGAATATTGCGTCGTCATACAGTAAATCCTGTATTAAGCGGAAGGTGTCCGCTAAATAGCAGCTTGTTACACTAAATATTTGACTGCCAGCAGATCTTCTTCACTCAGTCGAGCCCAGTCGACGCTCGGCTGGATTGGACAGAAGGAGAAGGCCCAGAAGGGAACTGGAGAGACATGGTCTTCTTCCCAGTTTCCCCTCGGCTGGTCAATAAAATATTATGAGATGTGGTGCTGCTTGTGACCAGTGATTTCATTAACTATTTTAGCCCTAATATCCACTCACAAATTCTCCAAACTGATTTCCATGCATTACCTTAAAAAAAATTAGTTGAGAGAATTTGATAAAAGATCAATTGTCAAAGCTTTTTCCCCTGGGTGATGATTTTATTAACTCCCATAAGCTTTTCTCTTGATTATGTAGTGATATTGTTGTGAGAACATTGATGTTTTTACTATACCATTGGGACTTGACGGGTTAAGCGTTATGAAATTGCTGAAAATGAATGGTACAAAGCATCTTCTTGGATCAAAATTAAAATACAGAAGAATCCCGATTTCTCGAATACTCAAGTTTTTCGACACTCCCAATAATTCGAAACCTAAACTAACTTCCCTTTACCAACCAACACTGTAATTTTACCCCCGAACTTTCGATTTCCTCGATAATTCGAACTAGTTCGCACTTCCAAAAAAGGCTTGAAAAATCGGGTCCTACTGTANTTTCCCCGAAAAATCGCACTAGTTCGCACCTCCAAAAAAGGCCTGAAAAATCGGGGCCTACCGTACCACGGAGGGCTCCGCCAATGCCCATATTCCCCCCCCCCGCCCCCCCCCCCCCCCCCCCCCCCCCCCACGTCGGGCCCCTCCCTTCGTATTCCTCTCACAAACACACGATTTTGCGCTCGAGTGGGACAAAGGTGATAGGCGATTAGAGAAGGATAAATCGCGACAATGGCGGAATATCATAAAGCTAAGATGTAACTGCCGCAATTGAACTCAGAACTGATCAGTCAAGTTGAATATTGATATAGAGCTTTGGAAGTAGTATTGCGTGCAATGGGTAGTTGGGCAGATGCTCTAATCTGTTTGCTTTTCTTCAGATTAGTATTAAGTGGGTAATCCCATACCGCTTTTGAAAAATATTGCTAACAATGCATCTATGGCAAATTCATTCCCCTTTATTTTGTTGCGTAACTTACAGAAAGCGGAAAGCAATCTCTTAGATGTAAGGAATACTTTTGAGGAAGTAAAATATTGTTAGCCTGACAGTCTATACTAGTACCAGGCTTTAGACCAGGAAGTTTAATCGCGAAGTCTTTGAAAACTGGGTTGGGAGGTCCGGTTGCTGCAAAAAAATCGTCAGCTAGTTAGCTGCCAATAATCTCTAACATCCTGTTTGAGTGAACTGTTTTTATAGAGTAAATTAATATGGCACTAAAAGGATTAGAAAGCAATATTGACCACTAATTTGTTTACATTACGAGATGACATTTCAAGAAAGAACTGTGGAGTTTATGCGTAAATTTACAAATAAATTTCTTTATTATAATAATAATGTTGTATTATTGTTATTGTTATTATTATTTCTATCCATGCTAACCAAACCTCATTTAATACGGGATATCTAATTAAACTGTTAGACAAATTTTGCGCAAATCTGCATTGGATGATCCCTTATTCTTGTTCACTCTTGGGGGGTTAGAATAACAATGAGACCACGCGACAGGTACGTTTAATGAGATGCCAAACCGGTTATATATCAATAGGAGGTTTCGTCCAAAAGAGAGTGTAAAGAAAAGATCCAGCGACGACTCGCTGACTGCAATTGTAATTAGTATGGGCTCACCATATCAGCCAGTTGCGGGCTTCTCTCAGTGTGAAATGCGCTGAACGTTATCCCTCACGGCTTTGCTGAAAGTGCTATTAAAAGCATGACGAAGAGAAACGGGACTGTTATTGGAGTCAGTAATGAAAGTTTTGCGTTGGAAGGAATTGTTCAAGACGAAGCATTGGGCGATTTTAGAACCACAAAAATATTTTTCTATTTTGCCATCTTATCTGCCAGTACCTTAGGCAACGGAATGGTTGCGGCTATTATCATTAGGAAAATGCGCACGGCTTCACACTTTCTAATCCTCAACTTGGCCATTTGTGATCTGTTAACACCGCTGATAAGTATTGTGTTTGATTTTGTCCTTGAGGAGAACAATTACGTATGGCTGTATGGCCACGTCATGTGCAAACTATTGTGGCCAACACAGACGTACTTTAATGGTGCCTCTTCGCTTACGCTCGCGGCGATTTCCTTGGACCGTTATCGACTCATTATGCATCCATTTAAGACACGCTTATCGAGGAAACAAGTTTGCTTGATGATTTGTGTCGTTCATGTTTTTTCTTTCGTGGCTGTGAGCCCTTATGTATATGTCCTGACTCTCCAAGGAGGTTCTTGCACAGAACTTTGGCCCGGTTTCACTTACAGACAAGCTTACAGCCTCTTCCTGTGTCTCTCACAATACGTTCTCCCTTTAACATTTATGGGTATTGTGTACGGGCTTGCAATTCGTGCCCTCTACAACACCTCAGCAAGAGTGCGTGGCAGTTCAATCAAAGAAAAGGCTCATCAGCAAGAAGTGACTTCGAAAAAGCCTCANCTTGCACAGAACTTTGGCCCGGTTTCACTTACAGACAAGCTTACAGCCTCTTCCTGTGTCTCTCACAATACGTTCTCCCTTTAACATTTATGGGTATTGTGTACGGGCTTGCAATTCGTGCCCTCTACAACACCTCAGCAAGAGTGCGTGGCAGTTCAATCAAAGAAAAGGCTCATCAGCAAGAAGTGACTTCGAAAAAGCCTCAATGCAAACATTCATGCAAGATCTCTAAAACAGGAGCCATTGCAAGAAGAATCAGTCATATACCAAGTATATGGAGTAGTCCAAATGCAAAAGCCATGAAAATTTTTATCATTATAGTAATTGTGTTTGCAATTTTCATGTTTCCTAATCAAGTTGTTTGGCTATGGGCGGACTTTGGTGGCAGAAACAAGACCTCGAATTTTCGGAAAATTTCCATCGTGTGCTGGTTGTTTACCTACACTAACTGTGTAGTTAATCCTGTTATTCTAGGTGTCCTCAGTAAAGATTTTCGAGAGGGATTTAAGGTGATTTTTAAGGGTATCTTGATCTGTTTCGATACATCATCCAAGGCAAAAGAAGCCAAAAAGGAGTTCAGAAAACAAAGAAATAGCTGTACCAAAACTGCATCGATGCTACTGTCAGACGGCGAATGTCATGCAATGAAGCTCAAAGAATGGAACCTATATCCCGATGGTCATCAACAACAGACCAGTTTACCTTATGGCGCAAACCAACCCTTAATATCCTCATATATTGCGATCGAATCTCAATCCAGGGGCTTTGATTTGCATCGATCTGCAGGAACATTTAAGAGCTTAACTCAAGAAAACAATTTGCAGGTAAAAAGACGGGATTTCAATTACGCGCATGTTTCAGTGATTCCTGACGAGAATTTGGCAATTTTACCTTACTCACTTTCGTATGAACATTTGGAAGCAGCCTTCAACAGTTCGCCCGAGACCGACTGTTAACCAATATACAAGAAACCTTATAACATAGTATTCACCAAAATCAGAATTTCTCAGAAAAGGTCCTCAAAAGCCCAGTAAGCTGTGCACAGTAATTTTATATATATATTGACTTTCAATACATTATTTTAAATTAAGGAATGTAATTTTCGTTTTCCACGCTATTAACCGCGCCGTTTGACATAAGACTCCATGCTGGCTGAAAAAAGGAATGCTATTGTCGTATAAAGTTTTCCTTCCTATGCTTGCTTGGGTGAACGGTTTTTAGAAGAAATTTGTACTACCCAGAGTCGTTTGATCTAAAAAATGGGAGGTGTCAGTGTTCCCAGTCAAAGTTGAACACAAAGTTTGAGTCCCGATTCTCTCCTGAGAAAGGCTTGCGCATGAAATCTCATATTAGCTTTTGAATTTTTTTTTTACAGCCATGCTAAGTGACCTTATCAAATTAATTGAAAAAACCAAATGTGTTTCTCATCCCCCACTGTTGCTGCTCTGCAGCACAGTTCCCCTAAACTGACCCCATCATTTGTTTGACATAAGACCCACACTGCGGAGAAAAATGGCCATACTCAACTTCCTTTTACGAAAGAGACATACCTAATCTTTGATTGTTAATTATGAAATGCACTACTTGGAGTGCAGTGGTTGATTTATGCAATGGCTGACTGTTGAGTGCGAGCAGTCTCTTGCGCCCGCGCGCGCATGCGCAAGAGCCTTCGAGAAGTGTCTGAGTCAGACGCCTAAGGCCCTGTTCGCACTACCACAAAAAATAGAGTTTAGAGTTTGCAAAAAACGTGAAAAATTTGTAATCACCATTTTTTTTATTTTTGTAATCTTGTTCGCATCTAAGACACGAAACGTCAATTACGGGCTTTTTAATTGGCCAGGTTGTCAAAATAAAGGAGTTCACGCTCATAGTTGCATCATGGGTAATCAGGGCAAGATGGCGGGAAATTAGAAGATTTGTATTAGAATTCAAAACCAGCTAATTCTTCCTGAATTCATATAATTGATGCTTTCTGTTTGAAAAGAGTAATTTACGAGTTCAAAGAAACAATACACTAAATCTGGAGTGCAAAGAAGTCCGTGATCAATTTTTAGAAAACCTTGATTTTCCCATACGTTTTCTGTAATTCGACAGTATCAAAATTTATTTTAAAATTAATCATCTTTCGAGGAACCGGACGTAAAATTGTATTCCACGAATATGCTGCAAAGCTAATCAATCCAGTTAATCCCCGCCGCCCACCACTTCCTCACGAAATTTGTACATTGGTACAGGACCGCAAAGCTTGGAAGAGCATGGAGGTCGTTTGTTGTCACCACTGGTAACCCTCATGAGCGCCCAAGCCAAGCCATGAGAGAGAGTCTTGTGGCCGACTTAGGCAATCTTGAGTTGGCTTCTGATTAGCTCTTGGGATGCCTGTGATAACTTTCGCACTACTTTGAAGTAAGAAATTCCTAGCTAATCCTAATTCTAATCCTAGTTTGGCTCAAATCTGGAAGTCAATGTGGCCATTGAATAAGGGTCCAATCCCGTCATCCCGACCCGATGGTTGCTGCTTTCGGTGTCCCACATCCCACATCTCGCATCCCGTGTGGGTGCTTTCAATCCAGATCGCCCTAATCCGGGAAATTTTTGCTTGTGGAATCCTGAATCCCGGGCTTTGGAATCCGGAAAACAGCTCAAAGAATCTGGAATCCGGAATCCAGGTTTTACTTACAGAGACTGGAATCCAGTACCTTGAATTCGGAATCCGTGACGTGGAATCCAGAATCCAAGACTGTCTTGGATTCCTTTACATAGGGCGAATCCAGAATTGAATCCGTTTAATATTTTGTTTTAAAATCCCGAATCCTGGTCGATCGAATAAGGCAAATCCCGAATTCTCGTGTAAAACCTCAGGGGCACCGGCCCTCTTTAATGTCTGATTAGGATAAATCTGGAAAATTGCAGCACAGCTTTGACGGGATGTCATGAATATCCGCCACTCCGGCGAAGAAGGGAATTTTTGAGGCAAACCTACGCTGACGTCTGTCTCGTCTCGCGGAACGTGACAGTGGCGGAGGAACAGAATGATCTGAGAGGCGGCTTGTTTCCCAAGCCATGCTTTCTTAGTGTTACTTGCACAGAACTTTGGCCCGGTTTCACTTACAGACAAGCTTACAGCCTCTTCCTGTGTCTCTCACAATACGTTCTCCCTTTAACATTTATGGGTATTGTGTACGGGCTTGCAATTCGTGCCCTCTACAACGCCTCAGCAAGAGTGCGTGGCAGTTCAATCAAAGAAAAGGCTCATCAGCAAGAAGTGACTTCGAAAAAGCCTCAATGCAAACATTCATGCAAGATCTCTAAAACAGGAACCATTGCAAGAAGAATCAGTCATATACCAAGCATATGGAGTAGTCCAAATGCAAAAGCCATGAAAATGTTTATCATTATAGTAATTGTGTTTGCAATTTTCATGTTTCCTAATCAAGTTGTTTGGCTATGGGCGGACTTTGGTGGCAGAAACAAAACGTCGACTTTTCGGAAAATTTCCATCGTGTGCTGATTGTTTACCTACACTAACTGTGTAGTTAATCCTGTTATTCTAGGTGTCCTCAGTAAAGATTTTCGAGAGGGATTTAAGGTGATTTTTAAGAGTATCTTGATCTGTTTCGATACATCATCCAAGGCAAAAGAAGCCAAAAAGGAGTTCAGAAAACAAAGTAATAGCTGTACCAAAACTGCATCGATGCTACTGTCAGACGGCGAATGTCATGCAATGAAGCTCAAAGAATACAACCCATATCCCGATGGTCATCAACAACAGACCAGTTTACCTTATGGCGCAAACCAACCCTTAATATCCTCATATACTGCGATCGAATCTCAGTCCAGGGGCTTTGATTTGCATCGATCTGCAGGAACATTTAAGAGCTTAACTCCAGAAAACAATTTGCAGGTAAAAAGACGGGATTTCGATTATGCGCATGTTTCAGCGATTCCTGACGAGAATTTGGCAATTTTACCTTACACACTTTCCTATGAACATTTGGAAGCAGCCTTCAACAGATCGCCCGAGACCGACTGTTAACCAATATGCAAGAAACCTTAGAACATAGTATTCACCAAAATCGGAATTTCTCAGAAAAGGTCCTCTAAAGCCCATTAAGCTGTGCACAGTAATTTTATATATATATTGACTTTCAATACATTATTTTAAATTAAGGAATGTAATTTTCGTTTTCCACGCTATTAACCGCGCCGTTTGACATAAGACTCCATGCTGGCTTAAAAAAGGAATGCCATTGTCTTATAAAGTTTTCCTTTCTATGCTTGCTTGGGTGAACGCTTTTTAGAAGAAATTTGTACTACCAAGAGTCGTTTGATCTAAAAAATGGGAGGTGTCAGTGTTCCAGTCAAAGTTGAACACAAAGTTTGAGTCCATTCTCTCTTGAGAAAGGCTTGCGCCTGAAATCTCATGTTAGCTTTTGAAGTTTTTTTTTACAGCCATGCATAGTGACCTTATCAAATTAATTGAAAAAACCAAATGTGTTTCTCATCCCCCACTGTTGCTGCTCTGCAGCACAGTTCCCCCAAACTGACCCCATCATTTATTTGACATAAGACCCACACTGCGGAGAAAAATGGCCATACTCAACTTTCTTTTTCGAAAGAGACATAACCAATCTTTGATTGTTAATTATGAAATGCGCTACTTGGAGTGCAGTGGTTGATTTATGCAATAGTTGACTGTTAAGTGCGAGCAGTCTCTTGCGCCCGCGCGCGCATTCGCAAGAACCTTTGAGAAGTGTCTAAGTCAGACGCCTAACGCCGCCCTGTTCGCACTACCACAAGAAATAGAGTTTGGAGTTTGCAAAACAAGAGAAAAATTTGTAATCACCAATTTTTTGTTTTTGTAACCTTGTTCGCATCTGAGACACGAGAAATTTTTCATTTTACCAGAAACGTCAATTACAGGCACTTTAATTGGCCATGTTGTCAACATAAAGGAGTTCACGCTCATAGTTGCATCATGGGTAATCAGGGCAAGATGGCGGGAAATTAGAAGATTTGTATTAGAATTCAAAGCCAGCTAATTTTTCCTGAATTCATATATTTGATGCTTTCTGTTTGAAAAGAGTAATTTACGAGTTCAAAGAAACAATACACTAAATCTGGAGTGCAAAGAAGTCCGTGATCAATTTTTATAAAACCTTGATTCTCCCATACTTTTTCTGTAATTCGACAGAATCAAAATTTATTTTAAACTTAATCATCTTTCGAGGAACCGGGCGTAAAATTGTATTCCACGAATATGCTGCAAAGCTAATCAATCCAGTAAATCCGTGACGTGGAATCCAGCATCTAAGACTGTCTTGGATTCCTTTACATGGAGCGAATCCAGAATTGAATCCGTTTAACATTTTGTTTTAAAATCCCGAATCCTGGCCTTCGATCAAATAAGGCAAATCCCGAATCCTCTTGTAAAACCTTGCGGGGACCGGCCCTCTTTCATGTCTGAATAGGATAAATCTGGAAAATTGCAGCACAGGTTTGACGGGATGTCATGAATATCCGCCAATCCGGCGAAGAAGGGAATTTTTGAGGCAAACCTACGCTGACGTCTGTCTCGTCTCGCGGAACGTGACAGTGGCGGAGGAACAGAATGATCTGAGAGGCGGCTTGTTTCCCAAGCCATGCTTTCTTAGTGTTGTTGTATCCGTTACAGCGAGTCCAAAACTTTTTAATGACTTGGTGCTTCACACACCTTTAAAATTGCTATAATCATTTTACAAATTTTGCTTTTTTAATGGCGGGATTCCGGAAATAAAATACATCCTATCAAGAGTTTAAGTTAATTAGCCAAGAAAATTGATCCGCAAACCCAGTGTTGAATGGATAGGGTGGCAAGGTCACTTTAGTCAGACTTTGATCAAACGGCTTGGGAAAAGTCCGTGATTCGTGCTTGGCAGATATCACACAAAAATGGTTGTCAACAACTCTACAATTCAAGACGAAACAACAATGAGCTTGGAGACAACGGAGTTTAGAATCATAAGAATAACATTGTACGTGTTAATTTTATTTCTAAGCTGTATCGGGAACAGTTTAGTTGCAGTTGTTATTATCAAAGCTAGAGGAATGCGGACATCGTCAAACGTGCTAATCCTGAGTCTTGCTGTATGTGANTCCGGCGAAGAAGGGAATTTTTGAGGCAAACCTACGCTGACGTCTGTCTCGTCTCGCGGAACGTGACAGTGGCGGAGGAACAGAATGATCTGAGAGGCGGCTTGTTTCCCAAGCCATGCTTTCTTAGTGTTGTTGTATCCGTTACAGCGAGTCCAAAACTTTTTAATGACTTGGTGCTTCACACACCTTTAAAATTGCTATAATCATTTTACAAATTTTGCTTTTTTAATGGCGGGATTCCGGAAATAAAATACATCCTATCAAGAGTTTAAGTTAATTAGCCAAGAAAATTGATCCGCAAACCCAGTGTTGAATGGATAGGGTGGCAAGGTCACTTTAGTCAGACTTTGATCAAACGGCTTGGGAAAAGTCCGTGATTCGTGCTTGGCAGATATCACACAAAAATGGTTGTCAACAACTCTACAATTCAAGACGAAACAACAATGAGCTTGGAGACAACGGAGTTTAGAATCATAAGAATAACATTGTACGTGTTAATTTTATTTCTAAGCTGTATCGGGAACAGTTTAGTTGCAGTTGTTATTATCAAAGCTAGAGGAATGCGGACATCGTCAAACGTGCTAATCCTGAGTCTTGCTGTATGTGATTTCTTGACTCCAGTTCTCAGTATTCCGTTTGATATGGCTTATGAGGAACAAAACTACACTTGGCCCTTTGGAAAGGCAATGTGTAAAGCTCTTTGGCCTTTGCAAACGGCCTCCTCGACGTCTTCCAGTCTTATTCTGGCAGCAATCAGTTTGGACAGATTCAGGACTCTTGTAAAACCCTTAGGCTGGTACATCTCGTTGGGCAAATTGGTTGTTTGTGTGCTGTCAATTAACGCCGTTTCTATCTTTATATGCATCCCTTATTTTATCGTTTTGAAATACAGTGCCTCTGAGAGATTGTGCCACGAGAGCTGGCCAGGTGAAGACTACAAACATGCTTACACCATATTTCTATTTTTGTGTCAGTATGCTCTACCTTTGCTAACCATGTCTACAGTGTACATACTTATTTACATCAACTTACGTTCCAATCTGGTTAGGCTGTTTTCTATGGATGCCGAACGTGGAAGACGCGCTTTTAGCAGAGAATCGACTAGAAGCACAGATAGCAGGGATTTTCGACGAAGGGAACAGAACATTCGTTTGGCAAAAATGTTTGTTATTGTTGTCGTGGTGTTTGCAATCAGCATGTTTCCAAATCAAGTTCTTTGGTTTTGGATCGACTTTGGAAATGGTCGAGACCATCATCTTTTTCATTACATATCTGTTGTATGTCGTCTTTGCACCTACGCAAACAGTGTTTTGAACCCGTTTATTTACGCTTTAAAGAGCAAAGAGTTTAGATCTGGGTTTGCAAAGATTGGCCGCGCAACGGTAATGAAGCCACTGAGGAAAATCAGCACCGATGGCAGAAAATTTGTGCGAAAATTAAGTGGAAATGTTTTGGAAAGACAACGCCCTATTCCAGTTGAGATGAAATCTTCAGCTGCCGCAATCGCTTTCAATGAAAACTTTGGAGAATTCCAGCACAATTCACGTACAGAAGAGTGTGGTAATATAAAGCCGAGACAGCCTGAGGAAAAGAATGACCAGACTAATGTGATGCAGCCGCTCAGAAAATTGAGCAACGAAACTAGAAAATATGTGCGCAAATTTAGTGGTACTGTCTCTCCGGATAGTCAAATACCCATGTCTGTTCAGAGGAAATCTTCAGCTGGCTTATTTAAATCCAGTGAGAATGAAAACGCTGGAGCATTTCAATTCAGTTGGCAAGCGGAAGTGTCTGACAAAACGAAGGGCAATGATGACGGGTCGATTTTGGCTCCCCGTCGTCGAAAATTTTCATGTTACGGAGTCAGTTACGGTAAGGAGCAAAAAGACTTGTCTATGAAGCGACGGCCAGACGACCCGAGCCAAGAAATGACTGAAAACAAAGCAAGTAAGAGTAGCAATGAGGTTAAATTTATGAAGAACAAGGCAACCGAAAAGATTAATATTACTGTTGACATGTATCCAGACAGAGTGGAAAAATGACCTGTTGATATTGACGACGGATTTTAGAAAATTTAATGCAAATTTTGCCCATAATAGTTAAGAAGCTTAACATGCAAAATAATTACACTTTACTGTTTTAAGTTGAGTTCTCTTTCAGAGCTCTTGGCACAAAGCTGCTTATAGTCTCTTTGTACAAAGATTCTTTCCCACTTAAATTTCCAGTGGTCGCGTGATCGCGTGATGTTTAGGGCGATCGCATACTATCGCAAAGAAAAATCAATCTTCTAAATCGCAAAAACTGTTATCTTTAAAAATGTAAAAAAGAACAGTTATCCTTTTTCGCTGTTTCACAAATACTTTTTGATGACGTCCACAGAAGACGGTCAAAGGTGCCTCTTACTTTTCGGCTTAGAGTTTTGACAGACAGACATTTATGAAACTTAATCATAACTGCATTATATGATAAAGCAGAGTTCTCTTGAGAAGTTTTTGTTAACAAGTTGTTATGGTTTATATATACAGATATACCTGTATTCTGTGAAGACATAGAAACCCCTAATTTAAGTCTGATAGAACTACAGCAACTTTTCCAAGGGGGCCGCGGACAAAAATATTTCCTCGAAAGATAATTAACACCTTTTTTTCGAAGGACATACGCAACAGCGATTTAAGAAGGTTATTTTGCGTAAGAACGTAGAAAACAAGTGTCTAGCCTAAAAAGTTAATCTGATAGTCTTAGTTTAAGTACGACGAATTCAGATCACGAATTGATGCTTCAAGTAATTCTACAAACATTTATGATCATGATGTTGAAGACTTCGTTAAACAGGTTTTTTCTTCTTTGAAGGAACTTCGTTTTCATTTTCAGTTTTAGCTAGTTTTTTTTCAACAAGAACAGCAACTTCATTGTAACGATGTTACTTCATGTCTTCCAGAAGGAATTTGGATTAAACCCACATATCTTATAAAACGGGGTACAATGATGTGCGAAGTGCTGCACGCAGTTGACGATGGATAATCAAATGGCAGAACATAGACTAAATTGGGTACTTTTTCAAGGTAACAAAATGGTAATTGGCTCTTTTTGATCATCATCTTCATCTTTTGGCGAGCGTCGAACGGGATGATTCTTTACACCAGGGACGGATGAAATGCCTCGTACTCTTTTCTTTTTAGCCTCTGGATGTGATGGGTCATCAAAATGATTCTGTGCATTACTTTTTCGCATTGTATCATGTCATTTGTTTTGTTTCCTTTGTTTTGTGCTTCTTGTTCTTGTTTGTTGTTGTTTTTGAAAAAAAAAGTATTTCTTTCTTATTTATGTCAATGTTTGAAGTTGTTTGACTCTGAAAACATCTGTGGTAATCGTTGCGGTACTGCCCGGTGAGGAACTATAATTCGAAAATAGCACTTCAGGAGCTTGAGGTTTGAAACCCCATTCGATGCGACAACTTGATTTTATCGAACACTATTGACAGCAGCGCCTGTTGGGCTGAGTTTGAATTTAAACGGATCATCCGTATTATAAACACACGCGCCTGCCCTTTGCGCATGAAGATCAGAGTGGCAGCTGGCCCTTTTTTTCTGTTTACGCCGAAATTGTAGAAAGGGCATTTTAGGAGCCACTTGACTACCTTGCTACTTAGTATTTGTATAATGGGGACCAATTCCATAAAAAGAAATCAAACAAGGAGAAAACTGTTTACTGGATATTATTTGAGAGCGAATACTCCCAAATTACGAGTTTTTAACCTGTATGACTCCAGCAGGTAATCACAGGAAACAAAGGGGACGGCTTAGACGTATCAACTGGGAAAAAAAACATAATGGCGTTCAGCGACAGATTTTCTTACTGAACTACGCGCCAATTATGCATGTCCTTTACCTCGAGAGACATTGGTTCTTGTATAGTAGGTGCAACTTCACACCCTGTTAAAATTCCCTTACATAAGCTCACTTTGAACCAAAGTTTTGTTAAGCCCGGGCTTAAGAGCTTTAAGGCAGCTACAGCTGTATGCCCCTGAAGACGGCTACTTAAATTAATTTCCTGCTCTTTATAGCTCCAATTCATAGATAAACAAAGTTGACAAGTCAGGTTTTGCGAGCGAACGACTTGTTTTATTTCAGTTCAATCTAGGCTACGAGGAAGGCAATCGCTGAAACGAAATAAAATGATTGTTTTGGGAGGGCATGCAAAAGAAGAAGTTCAAAGCGCATTACGTCTTCAATGTAGCCATTTCCAGCAGGAAACCATGACAAATACTTTCTATACCGAAAACTACGTTATAAGTCGTTTGTGGTCAACTAATAAAAGTAATATTGCTACTTCAGATCCGTTTGCGTCCTTAAGAAGCCACAAAAATTTATTTGTCCGATTTTAAGCCGTTTCAACTTATGATTACTTAGTCATTTAAATTTTTTCACGTCTCTGAAATTTATATATCGGCTATATGACTGGGCTTATCCCCGTCTTTTAAGTAGCTTATTTCATGTGATGTCTTCCTCTGACTCGTCATTAAATCCCGCAGAGGCACAGCTGAAAAGGTATTTTTGTCACGAGCGCCAGTTCACCTTGGAATTTCCCGCGGAGGAATAAGTACCGAAATGTTAAAATAGGTTTGTATCAAACACAGCTTTCTCGCAGCATGAATGTTCCGGCTTAAACCTTGTACAGCAAAATGGACAGTCGTTTGAATGAGTTTGTCATAGGATTTTATTGACAGACTCAACGTAATGTAAGAAACCCGTTTTGAATATAAGGGGGAAAAAACGAACATTTGAGTGGTCACTCCGCAGATGTGTTTTTAATACTTTATTTAAAGCTAAGTCTGTAGAGTTTTTTATTATTGTTTGCCTCTCTGTGTTTGTTTTTTGGTGATAGAGTCGCTTGCGCTTGTTATGAATACAATGTCTCACTGTCAAAAAGAACTTGTGAACTTTAATTTGTTTTTGTCGGTCGGCGTTTCTTCCGTTTAAGCAAGTTTATGTGAGTATTAAAAATGTTCTCACCCAATCAATTTTTATGATTTTATGCCGCGTGGTTTGTTTTTCACCATGAGTTCGGTTGGTCATCAAACATCAACATCCCCGTTGACCGCGGCCAGAACCCGCCTACAGAGTGTGAAGGTGGATTTATGACAAAATGAGCAGGCTTCCATTTCATGTTTGTTTTTATGTCAAAGATTTAATCATAAAAAGTATACATTGGCTTAAATGGCACGACCTATTCAGAGATTTAACCGGAACGAGCGGAAATGTTTCGAAAACATTAACAGATCAGTTAGCCAAATTTGTTTAAAAAAAATGCATTGTTTTTTCTGAGTTGGTCCCACCCTTAAGAAGTTCTGAGAAGCTCTAAACCGATGAAAAATAAGTCGACAGACTTAACTTTTGACCAAAAACAAATTTCACGTTACTAGTGCCATTTCTAATTCCAGATCCTCCTGTCCCAACCATCAGTTTTCTGAAGGAGTCACTTGTGTGGTTTGCTGATGGCATCAATTACCAGGAAAGAGGTTTTTCTGAAGGGGGTTGTTATCCGAAATAACAATGCCACAATTTCGGAAGGTTGCAGACTTTTCTGAAGTTTGAAACTTCTGGCTTTTAAAGAACTGATTATTAAGGGGGCGCGGTGGATATTTAAAGAAAAGCCCCACAACATATTCTCACTGAAAAACGGTTACAGAACAATTTCAGTTTTTAATTACTGTGTCAAGCTTCGACCGGGAAATGAATAAAGCCTGCCTTTTCCACACTTAAGCAGCATAAAATTAAAACCAAAGCTTGCTACTCATCGAAAATATAATTTTATATATTTTAAAAAATTAAATTACAGAAGCAACCTGCAGAAATTCATGACATCAACTGTTCGCTTTCATTTATTTAAACTTTTTTAAACAGATCGAGCCAATGGCCCTTGTACTAAAGCTCAATTTCATTAATTTTTGTAGTCAGCAGTCAGTTTCTCGAAGTTCTTTAATAAACCAAGACGACCTGTCTCTCAAAATGGCCTTTAACTCTGGAAATGATATATCGTTAAAAGGTTTCACTTTTTCAAGGTTTTTACATGACGTATATAGATTGATGACGGCTTCCCTACCTTTTGGTGCCTCAGAGTCCATAGGAAGACAAGTATCGCTCTGATAGACAGTAGATCCTTCATTGGATCTTACGTGCAAGCCCTTAACCTCGCCTATTTCATAACATGAAACTTTCCGACGTGGAACGTAATTAAATGGTTTTTGACGCTCAAATTCAAGCGTTATCTCTCTAGTGTCTGTATCTCTGATCCTTTCCGCCGATTGCCAACTGGGTTTGAATGTTTCTGAGTAATCGCCAGACATGGGAGATATGTCTTCAGTGGCGAGCGATGTCGTATGAACCAAGGAACGTTGATTATCCAAGACATTAACGTTAGCGCTCACCTTGCGCACAAATCTTCTAGTGTCGGCGCTTATTTTTCTCAGCGGTTTCACTACAGTAGAATGACCAATCTTCGCAAATCCAGATCTGAATTCTCGGCTTTTTAACGCATATATAAACGGATTTAGGACGCTGTTGGCATAAGTGCAAAGCCGACAAACTACAGAGATGTAGTGGAAATATGTACTCTCCCCTCCCTTACCAAAGTCGTGCCAGAACCACAAAACTTGATTCGGAAACATGCTTATTGCGAAGACTACCACGACGATAACAAACATCTTTGCCAAGCGAATGTTCTGTTCTTTTCTTTTAAATTCCACGCTATCCTTGCTCAAATGGGTCCGTCTTCTAGACTTTTGACATCTCCTAGAATTCATAGAGAAGAGTCTAGCCAGATTGGAACGTAAACTCCTATGAATAAGCACATATGCTATAGACATTGTGATCAGCGGCAATGCATACTGACACAAAAAAAGGAAAACGGTATAAACTTGTCTGTAACGTACAGCTGGCCAGCTTTCATTGCAGGATTTTTTCGCTGGATTGTACTCTAGAGCGATAAAATAAGGAATGCATAAGCATATTGAAAAAGCGTGAACTGTTAATACGAGCAAAACATTAGTTCCCAAGGAAGACTGAGGGAGGAAAGGTTTCACAAGGGTTCTGTATCTGTCCAAGCTGATAGCTGCAAGAATAAGGCTCGATGAAGTCGAGAATACTGTTTGTAAGGGCCACAGAAGTTTGCATACTGTTCTTCCAAACGGCCAAATGTTTCTGAGTTCTTCGAGAGCTAAATCAAATGGTATACTTATAATTGGTGTGAGGAAGTCACACGCCGCTAAATTCAGGATCAGTAGATTAGATGAAGTCCGCAAATTTCTTGCTCTTATAATAACAATGGCGACTAAAATGTTTCCAACACAACTAAGGACCAAGATAAGGAGGTATAATATTATCTTTGAGATTCTGAACTCCATATTTTCCAAACTCGCTTTTCCTTCTTGGTAAGAGCCATTGTTCGGCATCATTCAGTACTGCTCCCCCACTGCTCTTGCTGTGTGGTAACTATATCTATCCCAGCCGTGTTTAATTTGAAAAGCAGTCGTGAGCTGCCTACTGACGCCCGCAGTAAAACGACGATGTAAATGTCCACATTTCTTATCTGTTCAAACAATGGCCTGGTTAGTCACTCACAATTTTTTCGACGGCGCTGTTTCATAAAGCAACGCCAGTTACATATATCTCCCAGCTTTCGCAATGAAACTGAAGTCGACAACACTGAATTCAATGACTGGTAGTTAAAATATGATAAGTCAGATTCGCCTCGCGCTATCAAGATCATCTAAATCCTATCTGATCTCCGAGAGCTCTTCCTTCGTTGAATGCCATTGAACTCCCTGCCCAATGGCATCATTATTAACGAACGCAGAACCTGCGGTTTCTATTGTGAAACATAACATGGACAGTGATTTCATATAATAATAAATAAACAATGCTTTTAATAACTTTTGAAAACAAATATCTGATAAACCCGGGGGCTACACAGCAAAGTTTAATACGGGGAGGCTCCGTGGTGAGGTCAAACCCCTTATTCTTTTATATACCATCATAATATTGTGTACCATTTTCGACAAAAAGGTATTCCTTTCGTATACGTTTCATTGACAAACGGTACCCCTTTCATATACTTGGTTTAGAACATTGCATCCCTTTTAACTGCTGTAAATGAGCTTTCTTTCAAATATGAAAAAATCCGCTAAACTAAAAAAATTTTCTCCCGTCTTTTACAGCCATAAGGTTCTGCTGTAGCCCTTTTTGGGTCATTTAACAGACCGAAATCAAAGAGTTCCCTACTCTTTCGTATGCTTCAACAAATGAGATCCCAGCCCTTTCATATAACTGAAGCATGAAGAAGGTACCTCTTCCGATTTCGGGCGGAGTCTTCTGGTAGAGCCCATTGTAGAGAGTATACCCCCCGGATCTTAAAAAGCGTTCCTAAAGTTTACATTTTAGAAAAACTCGACATTGACAGCAACACAGGAAGCATCCGTCTCTCAAGGAACGGTTTTTCTTGCTTAATGGTAATGTAGGCTGCCAAGCTTAATGTTCTTGACCTTTGCAGTTAGCACAGTGGGGTAAACGTTTACCCTTTTTGTTTATTTAGCAATCAAGTAATGAGTATATCTTTTGATTGCAAAATCATCAGGTTAACGCCACCGCAAGATGAAAGAATTCCGCCCCCGATGGTATAGATTACTTAATAGATGACGGGATTCCATTGGCAGTTTTTCGTAGAGAAAATTATAGGGCGTGTACTATTTGATCGCATTCCGGAATAAGAATAGAATATTGGAATAAACTCTAAAAATCACTCATATGATCGGCGTTTGGTGCATTGCAAATATCTAATCTAGAAATCCGCTTTAAGTGGCCCAAAAAGCAAGTTACATAAGATTTGAAACAAATTAAAAATTTGGGGTCTTTTTATTCCGGAATGCGATCAATCGAATGCGCCTTATAGCGCTATAAAGCCAAAAAAAATTAAAATCTAGTTTTCTCGAACATCAAAGCGCAGGAGCACCTGACTTTGACAAATACGCCAAACACCTAGCAAGCATAACGTGACTTGTGGTTTGATTGCGTGGAGGGGATTAATTTTTTTGAGGAGCTCATTCCAATTAATTATAATTTTAAGTGTCTTGGAACTGTTCACGTAATGAATCAATCACTGCCGTAACTTTTTACCATTTTGAGTGGGATCCCTGTACTGTGAGAGTTTCCTAGGCGAAGGTGTTCCTCTTCGAGCACAGCAAAGATCATGAGAGGCCCTGTTTCTGACCACGCCAAGTCATACAGATAGATGTAGGCGCTGGTGGCCTTTCCAAACTCAAAAGTTTATCATGTACGTACTTTTATTACAGCCCACCATTACGCTGAAAAGATCCTTTAACTTCAATGACCTGTCATTAACCTGCGTCATTTTCCCTCTTAGAAAATACCCCCCCCCCCCCCCCCCCATAAACCTCTCCGTACACCACCCCCCTTCTCCCCCCCCCTCTTTCCCCTTTTAAAACGACCGGGGACTTACCCCCCCCCCCCACAACCAAACACGGGCCCGGCGCGTATGTTTTGTTTAAAACAAAACAAAAAGCACGACGGGGCCGCTCTTTCTACCCCCCCAAGCGCACACACAAGAGGTGTGGGTGCTGGGCGTCCCTCCAATCCAAAATTTTTTTTTTTACTCTTTTTTTTCCCCCCCCCCCATCTCCGCGAAAAACTTCTTTCACTTACCACCCCTCCCCCTCCCCCCCCTTTTTTCCCCCCTGAAAAAACACCCCCCCCCCCCCCCCAATTAAACCTTGCCTGACACTGCCCATTCCTTCTCCCCGGCTTTGACCCTTTATAAGACTGAGTGGCTAACTACCCAAGACGCGAACACTTAGAGCCAGTCCGGGCAATGTTAGTTTTAGAAAGAGACCGACTGTGTAGTGCCTGTTCTGAAGTAGGATGTCAGTTGGTTGCATTGGGGCAGAATTTCTTATGCGGTGCTACTATGTCGGAAAAGATTGGCCGGGTGAGGTAAGATGAAGTAAAACTAAAACACCTCTTTGTAAACATTTTTTCTTTCCCAGTTACTTCATGAAAAAGAAAACATGAATAATTAAAGATCAAATGGAAATGTTTGTTTTATACGGTGCAAATAATGTAGGCTTCAATCGATAAGCATCAAAGGATAATGTATGCTACAGATGTAAATCATTAGCGGGAGACTTAAAAACCTCAGTGACGATATATAAATAGGCAGTCTTATGATAATAAACAAGTAACTAAAGGTAAACTATAGGTCATGATCTAAAAAAAAATGGACATTAGACGTCTATAAATCAATTCGTGGACACATGTGAATCAGTTCATTAGGAACTCTAACACTTGTATACTGAAGACATAACACAGCTGCCATAGGTGGTGACCATAACCTTATCCTTCTTCATGTGCAGACGGAATTATACCGCCGCTAATAACGGATGGGTTATTTTTTTTGTTTTGGATCGGTATACAGGAGGAAAATTTCGTTTGCGACAAAAAGCTATTGACTCCCTTATTGTTTTCTTAAAGTCATCATAACTTAATGCAGTCAGTTTCAAATTGGACTCCGCTTAACTGATTTTCCCAATCACCATGTACGTTTTCAAAATTGCATATGTATGTCAGGTCTATCTACACGGCGTTACTCAGCAAGTCGTTTCTGCAAGTTCCTCGAGTTTCTCGTACAAACTGGGAGTAACTGAAATTGATAGATCGATAGAAAAGTCATTAATTGTACAAATTAGTTGTGACGTTTTGAAATGCATGTTAGAATTGCTAAGAGGTGGTTTAAGAGTTTCTTTACCATTAGTGAAAGTGTCTGAGAACCTCTGAGCAGGTGCAGTTACGCCAGAAGACAGCTGAGCCAGGACAGCGGGACGTTGACCGGCATCTGAAATGCTCCTGCTTATTTTGCGCACAAACTTTCTTGTTTCCGAGCTTATCTTTCGCAAAGGATGCATACTTGCTCGGCCAATCCTCGCAAAGCCGGATCTAAACTCTTTGCTTTTTAAGGCGTAAATAAAAGGGTTTAAAATACTGTTTGCGTAAGTGCAAAGACGGCACACAACAGAGACGTAATGGAAAAGCTCGTTGCTTTTGCCATGGCCGAAGTCGATCCAAATCCAAAGAACTTGATTTGGAAACATGCTTATAGCGAATACCACCACGACAATAGTAAACATTTTTGCCAAGCGAATGTTCTGTTCTTTTCTTTGATTTTCCACACTGTCCCTTATTAAAGTCGATTCTTCAGACGATCTACAAACATTGCGAGGTCTTTGAGGATCAGTTTCCATTGATAGAAGGCCCATAAGGTTTGAGCGTAAGCTGCGATAAATAAGCCTGTACGCTATGGCCATGGTTATTAAAGGTAAAACGTACCCGCATAGACACAATATCACCGTATATGCTTGTCCATTGTGCATATTCGACCAATTCTCGTCGCAAGAACGTTTTGATTTGTCATAGTCCAGGGCAATACTATAAGGAACACACAAGCCGATAGAAAACACGTGCATAGCAAATAAGCAGAGAAGAACTTGACGAAAAGTGGTGCGCCTTGCAAATGGGGTCACTAGGGTCCTGAACCTATCCACACTGACGGCTGCAAGAGTAAGAGATGACGACGTAGAACTCGCCGTTTGGAACGGCCACAGAACCTTGCACATCGCATGACCAAACGGCCAGACGTAATTTTTCTCCTCCAGGGCAAAATCGAACGGAATAGCCAAAGCTGGAGGGATGAAATCACACAAAGCAAGGTTCAAGATTAGTAACTTTGAGGGAGTCCGCATGTCTCGAGCTCCAATGATGACGATTATAACCAAGCTGTTACCAATGCAGCTTAGTATCCAGATTAAACAGTACAGAGTAATCTTGGCTGTTCGGAATTCTGACCGTTCCAGATTGGTTGATTCGGGCGAAAAGTACGTATCATTCGCTGCCATTTTCATCAATCGATGACACGTTAACGCTAGCGCAGTGAAGCGTTTGATTAGCCAAAATTAAAAAACAAATGATGAGAAAAACAACTGGCGGTAAAAGGGCAAGATATTGCTCTTCACCATCAAACTATTTTTATCACACTTCAGCTGTGGGATTCCATCATATACCGCCCCTATTCAGATATGGACTATAAAACTTCGAGTTTTCCTTAAGAACAGCAAAATTCATCAGTTATCAGGTTCTCGTCTGCGCATCAGTGGGCAAAGGTATTCAAAGTCATTCAGGGTTTCCCCACGGCTGCGAGTGCCGCCATAGTTCCTTCAGTAGCAAGAGAGGCTGGAATTTTTTTTCCACAACCCAGAACGAAAAAGAAACTGCCAGCATTCATCTGAGGATCGTTTTCAAAAATCACACAGCTCATTTGTCAAATTGTTACTGAGTTTATAATGAAACACCACAGGTAGCCATAGAAGAAAACAATGCTGAGAAAACAACGATTAATTACATCAGTAAGCTGTTTTATTGAAAAAACTGTGATTATATTGTCAAGAGGCTCGGGAAAAACGCACACAAATTTCAACACTGAGTCCTGCTTTCTCCAACACAACGTTTACGACAGGGGAAAAATAGCTTAATGAAAGGGTAGAGGGTTCGTGACTTTTCAAGTGGGCCCTTGGGGGGTGCGTTATTGCTGCGCGCGCTTCCTTTAGAAGAAGTCACATTAACCGGATAATCCTTTGAGCTACTCTTCTCTTCTCAGTCACGATATAGAGTAAAATCAGGAATGGGACCTGGACTATTGAACTGGTGGACAGTGTTGGTGGTGCAAGTCTACATATTAAATTCAAGCTCAGTGTCACGTTCTGTTACACAGGGTTGCGTGAATTATTCCACATACAGTTGTAGTAACTGCTTAGGCTTGTATACAACTGTCTCGCGAAGGATTCAAAGTAGACAGACTGCAAATTATAGTAGTTGCTAAAAAAATATATCTACGTGTCCCAACTGTTCATCAGTAGGATGCCTAAAATGCGTGCAATTCCTCATAGTTGCCCACCGTTTTATCTACGTATCCAAACCCATTTCTTGGCTTTTCGATATAAAATGACACACCCCGCCGCACATCAAATTTACATAATACCTCTTGCACAGGTAGAGGGTCTTTTGTATGTTGCTTGTGTATGCACCCTATACCATCATGATGGGTTATCTGTAATGTGCTATCACCACTTCACTCAAATACGTAATTCTTAAGATCAAGGCCTTGTCTATGGCTATAATCCCGCTCTGTTTTGAGTTCTGATGTCTTGCACAGTTAATTTTCACGTTGTACGATCAGCATTGCAGTATTCTGCTTGCAGAATTTAACATGTCTACTTTTCATTTTTGCTGATCAGGTCTTCATTGATCCTACGTTCTTCGGCATATTCGTTTGCGGTCCTTTGCAGTCCTTTGTGGTTAATGTTTGTACCTTGTTTAAAACCCATTTAAGTCAAGGTCGATAGTGTTGCTTGTCTTCGTTGCTGTAGAGTCGAGCCCCTTTCCCGCGTTTTATAAAATCCTTCCGCTTTATATTCTTTTTACATAGAACTGAAGATGTTGCTCAGCATTACTTATCGTAAATTCTACCCACTAATTCTGATAAAGAGATTACGATTCGATATTAGTCTCTATTTAGAATCCGAAACTCTAATTTAGTGGACAATAAATCATGTTTCAAATATCATCATTTCGTGATGCTTGATGCACAGAGCTCCTTATCTGCTGGTTGCAGGCTACAAAGTCTCTTCACATTTCCCCTTTGGCCTAAGTTATTCTTAGTTCTGGCTGAGGTTCGCGTCCTTATTCACGTTCCAACGCTGATACGTGTTTCTGTATCAATGGTATAAATCAGGCTCCTGTATAAATTCAAACTAGTGGCCCAGTCTTGATAGAAATAACAAAAACTAGCAGTTAAGGGTGTTGTTCGTACACTGAACAAAGTAAAGTCGAGGCTGACTTGTTTAAGTTCTATTTGAAAAAATCGATTTAAACATCGATCATGGCTTCTTATTAGCACTTGGAAGAATAGATCCATGTCTTTATGTTGTAATTCAGGGGGCCATTTTGCCCATCAGTAGAGAAATAATTTCTTAATGCTGGCGTATAGCTCAAACAAGCTCTAAGGGAACGTTCTGTCGATACTGCCCCTAGAGAACAATATACAAGGGCTTTCGGTGCAACCTCTGCTATTTATCAATACTGCCAATAAAAGTCTAATTCAAAATGGAAGTTGTTTAATTGGATAACGATAAGCAACAACCAAACACTTGAACGCTGATTTATCTTTTGGTTAAGGTTTCAAGGCTACACTACAAGACCGCAAGATCAGGTGGGTAGCACTGTAAATCAATTGTTATTCGGTCAAAACTTCTCGGTTCCCAGTGCCACGTACCATGGTATTAAAACGAAGCTAACGTATACCATTGTTCTTTTATGACAGAAAGTTGTTGCTTTGAGGCTGAATTTGCTTTTTTTTATTTCTTTTTTCTAATGAAATTAACCACATTGCTACGCCGTCTTCGCGGTCTCATGTCCTAGGCTTTCCGACAACTTAATTGAAATACCTGCCCTGTAGATCATCTATCTTAATCTTCGGAAATCGAAGACATCCAATTCGATAATCGCTAAAAGGCCATGGACCACGCCTTGACCGCCATTGCCTGTCCATGTCCAAAGGGCTGCGTCGAGTAAAAGATAAAAAATATCAGTAACCATTAAGTTGCAGTTAGAGACAAGCTAAGCAAGCTTAGTGAAAAACAACAACAACCAAAAGCAAAACCTTTAAATAGAAAACAAAGAAGCGAAGAATGCGAAATCAGTGTCTCATCCAAAGGCTCAAAACAACCTATTGATAGAAAAAAGTCACTATTTAAAGGCCAGTTTGTGTATCGATAGGCAAAGCCTTTCAGTCATTTGAATACCTAGTAAGAGATCTTATGGAAGGCTTAGTAGTGACTCAGGTATATTTACCTAGAAACTATAAAAGTTTTTTTGAAAACGTAGCTCGTGAAGAAAAGAAAGCAATAGACTGCCTACCACTTCTCCTCCTCCTATCAATTCCAGCTCAGTGTTTCCTTTCCTCGTTGTAGCCATCAGCGTAGCTGAAGCGCTCCCGCACGAAGGAAGGGCGAAAGCGTGAGCTTTGCTCGCGTGAATGAAACGCTTGCCTCGCCGACTATTGTCCTCATTCTGATTAATTCCTCATTAAATGGTTATACAATTAAGTCGTATAAATTAAGTGTTTTTTAATCGCAGCTTATCCTATAATTAGTTTAATGGAAATACACGTAAATCAGAACCACGGAATTATGTAAGCTTCAGTTAAAAGATTATAAAGTTTGTCCCAGTACAAACACCTGACTTGCGGTAAAAGCCTCATTTTTTGCTTGTCTGAAGTGACTCCTGTATATAAACTAGAACAGATACGTGCTCAAGTACATATGTATTTTTGCTGACTTAACTGTAGTTCGGACTATGCTATACCACAACATATACTGTACAATCTTCCAGTGAAACCGCCCCACGGAAAAGGAACCCCCAGTTGCGAAAGAAGGGATCCTTGAGTTCAGCGCGCAATTTTTTCCTATTTCAGACACATATACGCTGCCCAGTTGCAAAGCAGATGGTGGCTCGTGCCTTCCATCATCATGTTGCCATGTTTAATAATAAAGTGGTTTTAATTTTTCTCATATTTTAGTGAATGTATGGTGAATTAAACTAATGCTGCCTAACAGATTGGAATGACTGAGCAAAGTAAGTAGAACATTGAATGCTAATTAGTTTCATTTCCAATGATTTGTCATTTAAGGACATCTTGAACAACTTGGATTCTTTAGATATTTTCGGGGCTCCAATTCTCATGTTATGATCTTCATTATAACAAAAGAATTTACTCTGACTTGAATTTTTAGCCGATGGGCTGGTAGTTATCCGTTGTTTAAGCATGAAATTAGCGGAAGTGGGTCACTAGTAACATGCTCTCAAAAGTGTAGTAGATACGTAGGATTGATACGAAAAATAACAGAAGAAGATTCCTTTTTGTGGTTTCTTGCTTGACTGATCATCTGCACATTCGGGTACCGAAAAGGCAACATTGAGATTAAGATTGCCTTGCGATTCCTGATGGAGATGAAAGAAAACAGTTCTTTCTAATTAAACGTCATGTACACCGCCGTTTAGTTAAAGATTTCTTGCACGACAACCGGGACCCGTTAACGAAAGTAATTATGATCTGTATGATGAAGGAAGTTTTAAACTTGTATTTTAACAGCTTGCTCTAATATATTAGCAGGTAATGATAATAGATATCATCAGTTTACACTGGTGATAACCTTAAATACCACAAGCGGACGATTGCGTGAGCAACGCAGATGTTTTTAAGAAGAAAATTGATCGTGACCGCCCATCAAGTCGTAACACGCTGTTATATTCACTCACGAACGACCTTTAAAACGGACGGCTTCGGGTGTGTTTGTGCAAGGAATGTGTACTGGAAGCAGATTAAATCCTATTAAGAGTGACGAAGATTAAAAGGGCAACTAACAGGTACAACCTGCTTACTTTTGTATTAAGCGCAAACAATCTGTTTTTAAGATGGAAGCAAATAATACCAGCACCACCCAAGAGGGAACAACGAGTGCAAGCGTGGAGGAAATGGAATTCCGAATTGTGAAGATCTCGCTGTACGTTTTGATTTTGGTTCTAAGCTGCGTTGGAAATAGCTTAGTAGCTATTGTGATTATAGGAGCTAGAGACATGCGAACTCCTCCAAACTTTCTCATCTTGCACCTTGCGTTGTGCGATTTTATCACCCCAGCTTTGAGCATTCCGTTTGATTTAGCGCTTGAAGAAAGAGACTACGTTTGGCAATTTGGGGAGACAATGTGTAAACTTCTGTGGCCACTTCAGACAGCTTTTTCGATTTCATCTTCAGTAACTCTCGCGGTGATTAGTTTAGAAAGATTCAGAACAGTTTCAAAGCCTTTTGTAAGACGTATGACGAGTTACCATGTTCTTATGGCCGTGTTGTCAATCCACGCTATTTCAATCGGCATCTGTGTACCTTATTTTCTAGTTTTGAATTACACGGACTAGCCTAAAAGGTCGTGCGACGAAATATGACCGAATGTGGACTACAGAAAAGGATATACAGTTGCACTGTTTCTTTTCGGATATGCTTTTCCTCTGATGACAATGTCCGTTGCGTATTTGCTCATTTATAGAAGCTTGCGCTTAAACCTGTTGAGGCTCACCTCCATAGACGAAAGAAGGCATCAAAGCTATAGCAAGGCATCTCAGTTATCAAACGTGAGCAAAGACAGCATGGAACATAGAAGAAAAGAACAGAACATACACCTAGCGAAGATGTTCATCATTGTAGTCGTGGTATTTGCAATCAGCATGTTTCCAAATCAAGTCATTTGGTTTTGGAACGACTTTGAAAATGGAGGCAAGAGCGATTATTTTAATTACGTTTCCGCCGTGGGTCGGATCTGTACTTACGCGAACAGCGTTTTAAATCCATTTATTTACGCCCTGAAAAGCAAAGAATTCAGATCTGGCTTTGCAAGGATTGGTCACACCACTGTGGTTAAGCCTNATCAATCCACTCTATTTCAATCGGCATCTGTGTACCTTATTTTCTAGTTTTGAATTACACGGACTAGCCTAAAAGGTCGTGCGACGAAATATGACCGAATGTGGACTACAGAAAAGGATATACAGTTGCACTGTTTCTTTTCGGATATGCTTTTCCTCTGATGACAATGTCCGTTGCGTATTTGCTCATTTATAGAAGCTTGCGCTTAAACCTGTTGAGGCTCACCTCCATAGACGAAAGAAGGCATCAAAGCTATAGCAAGGCATCTCAGTTATCAAACGTGAGCAAAGACAGCATGGAACATAGAAGAAAAGAACAGAACATACACCTAGCGAAGATGTTCATCATTGTAGTCGTGGTATTTGCAATCAGCATGTTTCCAAATCAAGTCATTTGGTTTTGGAACGACTTTGAAAATGGAGGCAAGAGCGATTATTTTAATTACGTTTCCGCCGTGGGTCGGATCTGTACTTACGCGAACAGCGTTTTAAATCCATTTATTTACGCCCTGAAAAGCAAAGAATTCAGATCTGGCTTTGCAAGGATTGGTCACACCACTGTGGTTAAGCCTTTAAGAAAGATAAGCAGCGAAACTCGAAAATTTGCCCGCAAAGTAAGTAGAAGTGTCTCTGACAATCAGCGTCCCTCACCTCCGCCGGAGGAAACTAATTCGCGCGGAAATTTGAAGTCTGTTCGAATTTGTTCTGACCAAACATGGAATGGAAAAATAACAAATTTATATGACTCGGATTTCGCAGATGGGAAACGTATGGATGAGCAAAATTTTATTATGGATTTATCTCTTCAAGAGGGGATGATAAACAGCTCAAACTTAAGGAAACTTCTCGAAGAACTAAAAGAAACTGATTGTTAATTCAAAATTACTGGAACAAATAAGTCAAAGGAATTGATAATGTTGTCGTTTCGTGGAAAGTATGCGGTCACAGTGTAGAAAATATCTGTGCGGAAAGAACTACAATCCCATGCTAGCAAGATGGATAACGTTAATATTATATGCCTCGAAATATAAACAAATCTAGTTAAGGTATGAAGGTATCTGCTTGCTCTATCTTCATGATAGGAGTGGTATACTTGACCCGTCTTTTTGGTATGGGTGTAAGCATATGGGCGCCACTAAGGGTTAGGAGAAAACGCTGCATGCAGATACAAACGTACGAACTCCATACGAAGGTATCATAAGCACGCGACGCAATTTTCACAAGCTGAACCGTAACATTATTTAGGCCTCTACATACCTTACAAAGCAGAATACACTTTAAAGCATGTTGCCCTGCAGGCGTTTCTAAACTCGAAAATGTTTCCATACGGAACTTAGTCAACAAGCATACTAATAAGAGAAATCTATTTGGTCTAAACTAGTTTCAAGAGGGGACGAGTGAGAAACGCAGGGCTGCCGTTGAATGCAAAATGTCGCTTAATCTGCTAAAGTGATTTTAAAATAATTTATTAGAATCTTGCGATCAATTTTTACAATTTTACTGTTACTCCTTGTCATGAACTTACCTTCGTGGAACGTTGCTCTAGCTCCTCTGAAAATATCATGAAAATCTTGCGGAGATACGCGGCGCGCATGTGTCCGAAAACCTTACCCTTGTCATGAACTTACCTTCGTGGAGGTGGACCACTTTTCCCGGTCTGACCGGTCGGAATTTTGGTTGAATGGATCTCGACCCTTGTAACCCTTGCCAGACCTTTCAGATTTGCTAGCGCAAAACTTTGTCCTGAATCGAGTGATTGCATTGCCAGAAAAACTTGTTATGAGAGCTGCTGAAAACGCCAAACTGGCAAATTTGTGCCAGTGAGCAAAACGAAATTGGTGCGTGTGTATGGGCGAGGGTCACAATGAAAAACAGCTGTTTTCTAGCGATAACTGTGACTAGAAGGCAGTTTATTCAACGCTCAGATGAAATGATACAGTTTAAGTTTTGGCAAAACGTGTTTAAACATTGTTTATCACCGAGTCTCGCTATCCTCGACTATCCACTTGTAGTTTAAAATGCATGAACGGAAATTTCAATGAGAGGGCCTTTGCTTCGTATATTTCGAACTTTTTCAGCAATAATTGGAACCGGAAAGGTTTGTTTTTGCTTTCTTCTAGGTCAAAGAGGCCTTGACCCTTAGAATATGAACCAACNTGATACAGTTTAAGTTTTGGCAAAACGTGTTTAAACATTGTTTATCACCGAGTCTCGCTATCCTCGACTATCCACTTGTAGTTTAAAATGCATGAACGGAAATTTCAATGAGAGGGCCTTTGCTTCGTATATTTCGAACTTTTTCAGCAATAATTGGAACCGGAAAGGTTTGTTTTTGCTTTCTTCTAGGTCAAAGAGGCCTTGACCCTTAGAATATGAACCAACAACTGATAGCCGTCTTAAATTATGTCCCTTCAGGCAAAGGTTTCAAAGATGTAACTGAAGCCTGCAATCAAAACCTCTATATCAACTTTCGGGTTTAACAAACCAGTTCCTCAGAGTTCCTTGGAAATGAAGGCGACTAAATAACTACTCATTTTTCCTCAAGTTGCTCTTCAAGTTGTTGCAGTTGTTTATCAGTCTTGATTGTTGAGAATATTCTCAATCTTGTAGTGATTGATGGCTGTTAGAAATGTCAATTGGTAACGAGTATTTACAAGAGAGAATTGATGTCTCTTGGTATTTACTGATCAAATTGAAACCACACGCATATTGCGATGATCATACCTGCAGAACAAGCCCACTGAGAAGTATTTCTGAAACAGTAAACTGATCCTCAGCTTACGGCAGGAGGAGTGATAGGAAAAGCAAATAAAGAAAACAAATCCGTGCTCTACCAAAGATCCGGTCGACCCTCACTGGTTTGTCGTTGTGCTTTTGCCATCCCAAGTGTTTCTGATTCAACTATTTCAGCAGTGCAGCTAAATTCGATCGATGTAACGTAAACGGCTCAGACAAATCCCATCTTCAAAACCACTATATCCTATTATCTAATAAGGTTATTGGATCTTAGTATATTTGTGTGCTCTGCAAAGTACACCCACGGTTATCACGCAATACTACTTGACAACAGAATACAATGTGAGCAATTCTCGAGAAAACGTTTACTGGCTGAATGTGCGGGAAATTTATTCAATTTAACTCTGGCTATTCTCAGTATATTCAAGTCAAGAGAGGCTGTAATTGATCGATTACGAGGATTAATTAAAAGGGTCCTTCAGAGAATTAAAGTTTAAAAGAGACCGATAGTTTGGGTGGTGATCAATAGTGGCTTTTCCAGTACACTTCATCCGGGATAATCCCACCTGAACATCTTACTTTTGTTTCACTACTATCTGCTAAGGGTCTTTATAGCCAGGGTATCGAATGGAATACTCCAGGTCGAAGGAGAGGAGAAGAGAGAGCTAAGGACAAGATAATCGCGTTGTGGACGCCCTTTCTGATCCCTAAAAAATGAAAATGGTCTATAAAAAAGGTGATGATGCTCTAACAAAATCATGGGGAAAGGTTATGGCTATTTGAGGAACAGGAGCGGACCAGCTGAGTTTCCCGAGTGGGTGGTGGGGTTGGGGGGTTGCAATGTGCCCCAGTATAGTGCCCAGATTATCCAAGATGGCGGCTTGACGTTCGACCCTATTTCTCATTGTGACATAAATTCTCTCAAATATACTATTCTTCTCTTGCTGATTGCTTTCAATCAAATCGTTAGCACGACGAAAGACGTGATTCGTCTGTTTCTTCACCCATCCTCGAGCTTCAGGCTTTCAACACTTGATGGAACAATCATTTTCAACGGGAAATTGCTATTATTAATAGAACAAGGGTGGACGAAATAATCGAAGTGTCACTGAAGCGAAGACAGTCTTACTACTTATAGAAACTTGGAATTAAGGACCAAGAAGCATCTATTTAGAAATCAACTTCCACATTAAATTGTGTAGACGTTTGAGAACACAGCAACAATTCTAAAGTCCCGTGCCCAGGTCTCCATCCAGCTCGTCCCCGAAAGAGAGAGTCCTGGGAATGAGGTTGTGACCCTGGACGCACAGGGCTAAATGGGCTATTGTGGTTGTCAAAAATAGTTTCGATAGAAACGTCAAACCGAGAGCTGGAGACATTAAAATCTATCATGTAGCTGGATGTTAATCACTGGTGTTTGGTCAACTTTGTTCTAAATTTGTTATATTATGTCTTTAATGCGATCAAAATGATGGTGATCTTGCTGTCTTACCTCCCTAACTATAACATATATTTATCTTACCACCTGCAGACTCATTAGAACTTAAAACAACTTCATGAAAATTCATTCTATTTGATTATAAGTTCAATCAACAAAACAACCACAAGCCGCTTTATTAGATTTTTGAAAGCTGCGCACTTGCTAAAGCCTGGAGCAATTTGTTTTGTTTCGTATAGTTTGTTCTCGATAGTTACGCCAATAATCACGGTGGGGGTTTTCAAGCAAGAGCTTCCTGTAGACTCACCGCACACGTAAAGCAATGCTTTTCTTTTTCGATCAAGAATCTTTTTTTGTGGTTTCGAAGTCACGAAGCAAAGAGCATGATCATCGCGGGTTTCACTGGGGCCGATATTTTGGTGTTTTTGATATAAATTCTTTTATCGTGTTTTCTTGAATTGTTGGGAAAACATGCAAGTAAACGGAACAGAGAAAGCGGTTTGCATTTCCAGTCTCATAGTTTTAGAGAAAAGTATCCCTTCTTATACTCGTATACCTTCTATTGCCAAATCATACCCCTTTAACATACCTTTAGCTTAGAACTTTGCATCCCTTTTAACTCCTATAAATGCATTGTCTTTAAACTGGTATGAAAAAGTCACAAAAACAGAACGTTTTATCGACTTTTTCACAGCCATAAAATGCATTTTTCTTAGCCCCTTTTGGCCTTTCCCTACCCTTTCATATACTTCAACGGGGGAAACCCCTCCCCTTTTATCAGTACCTAAATCCTAAAAAAGGTACCCCTTTCGGGCGGAGCTTCCCCGTATAGACCATTGTAGGAAGGCAGGCATTTACTTGATATAGACAATCTCGTCCCCAGGGAGCTTTTCCCACCTTCAAAGCCAGGGAAAAGCGTCCTGAGACGAGGTTGTGATATAGAATGACAAACTTGTTTTTTGTTATTGGATTGTTCTTTTCCCTCCTGTAGCTCATTATGTCTTGGAAATAAACAGAGATAAGTAAAGTAATCAGGACGGTATTAAAGAGATGGCAAAGTTTACCCAATGAGGTCAACATCAACAGGAAAAACGCTAATTTTGCTGTACATGGATTTTCCTTTTTTCATGCCGCTTTCTAGCCTGTTCCAAGCGTTAAGATGATGGGGAGCATGTTAAATCGTATGCAGTGAGCACCCTCGTCATTTTTTCGCGTGCGTTTTACTATCTGAATGCCTTGAACAGGCTATATGCGCCCATTATATGAGTTCTATACAACGCCTTCTAGCGCTCTTTTGTGATAAGAGAAAGAGAATTTTAAAATGTTTTTTGGCCCGCGGGGGACTAAACGTAAAGCATCAGCGATTCCCTGGTTAACAAACTGTTGGTTTATAAATTGCTATGTGAACATTCAGGACTCAACGACAGAAGCATCTTTCTTGATTTGAGTTTTACATTACAAAGCGCTCTTCCGACACGAAAGATAATTTTCCGCAATAGTAACTGCTTTGAAATTGATACTTTTCAGTAAGAAAGATTTAATCTGCCTCCATCTGCTGGATTGCTATGTGGGTTTTGAAAACTACTCGATTGTTAAACGGTTTGATTGCCACTATGAAAATGGTACTTAAAATGCACTTAAGATGTAATAGGGCTGTTTACAGCATCTTTTAGTCAAAACTACAGTCATAGATCATCAGGAGAGGTGAACAAAATGTTCTGATTACGACTGAAACGTTATATGATCTAATCATTTGCTTATCTAAGATAAATGCTTATTAAATACAGTCGTCGGCAAAACCGCTGAGTATAACTTGCAATTACTTCTAACAGTCTGTTTGTGGAAGAACTATTAAGGACTCCAAGTTTCCTAACTCTATTGCGATGTTCCCTTCGCAAAGCAAAAGGTTGATTGATATACAGCAGTTTCTATTTAGCACGTTTTCGTTACTCGTGGATGCGACCCTCAGGACAGAGCCACGCAAAGAGTCAGCAATGTCACCTTTTGGATATTTACCCTCTGGCAATTTATTAATTGAAATTCTGTTAAACATTTCAACAGAGAATGATTTCTTGTGATTTTCGAATTCGGCTCCCGGTACGTTTAAGTGATTTTCCATTTTTATTTCAGGGCTTGCCTTTTCTTGATCTGCGAAACTCACGGAATGTCCGCTTTGGAAAGATCCACGAGGGGTCAACCAAGATGGAGTGCGGGTCCTCATTATGTTGCGATCCCACGTTCCATATGCACTTATGGCACCCAGCTGTGTTTCTTTAACTGCGCTCTTATCTGCACGACATGGGGTGCACTTTCTGAAGACTTTTGAAAACCCTCTGTTAAAATCGCGGCTTAACTTGTAGAAGATAATCGGGTTAAAGCAACTATTCGCATACGTGAATAAACGACACATAACTGAAATAGCCGGGTAGAGGCGACTTGTTTTGCCATCACCAAACTCCGACCACATCCATAAAACTTCTAGTGGTAGAGTCATCACAGCGAAAACGAGCACAATCACTATAAACATCTTGGTGACCTGAACGTTGTGTAGGTTTTCTTTGTAGAAGTGTCTTTCTAACGAGTCGTACGACCGAGCTTCACGAGGACGAATCATCCCGGCTTCCACTGATAATGAATCATTTCCAGATCCATTTCTTGATCTCCCCTCTGCTGTAGATGAGTTTTTCCAAGAGCTAAGCGACATCGAACGCGCGCGTTGAGTCGATACAAAGAGGCTTCTTGCAGCCGAAATGTACATGGCAGCCATGAAAACAAGCGGGAGCGCGTACTGACCCAGGAAGAGAACAACTGTGTATATCTTCGAATGTACTTGACCCGGATTGGGCCAAACTTCTGAGCAATGTCCATCGGCAGACAGCTCCAAAGTTATGATATAAGGAAGGACTAATATACCTGAAAACAAATGCACCAAGACTATGAAGGTCTTTACGGTCTTCCTGTACAGACGTTTTTTAAAAGGATGCAGTAGGGTTCGATATCGGTCCAGAGAGATCACGGCTAATGTAAGAGGCGAAACAGTGGCGATAAAGGTGGCTATTGGAGGAAGCAACTTGCATAGGACACGGCCAAGATACCACTTGCCGCTGCTTTCCACCAAAGCAAGGTCAAGAGGAATGCTCACAAGCGGAGTAAGCAGGTCACATACGGCGAGATTTAGGATGAAAAGATTTCCAGGCGCCTTTTTCATTTGTTTAAATTTACAAATGATCAGTATGATCATCGTGTTTCCTACCGTCCCGAAGATGAGGATCATGGCGTAGAGTACAATCTTCGTTACTTTAAAAGACAGAGGTTCCACGAACGAACTTGCGCTTGATTCATTTCCTTGAGCAGTTGAGTTCATTATCAGCGTATGCTTCAAGAAACCAAGAGACGTCTTAAATGATAGTTTGACGATGACTCAACACCTGGTAATATGGCTTATGCTGGACTTCTCCAAACCCCCACAACTCTTGTTAACAATCATCAATCTTATTTTTGCATTAACCGCGATCTAAATAATACTTTTCCGTTCTCTTTTTTACCCAGCAAAAGAAACCAGTACTGATGTTGACCACGAACCGATTCAGGGTTCTTTTTTACCGCAAGATTCAACGTGCTACTGCCTGACGCCCCTGTAGAAACTATTTCCGTTAGAAGAGTATCAGTGATTTTAATATGTACAGCCCGTAGAGCTGGTCACATTTCTTCACGTCTTGTCGTAACCCCAAAAATGATAAACAGGAAGTCCGAAAATCATTACGTTAATACGTTAATCCGTAATAAAAATGTAGTTTAAAATGTAGCTGTTTACATAACAGGGTAACTTTAAACCCGTGTAACTTGTGATAGACATTGATGGAAGCTTTCTGTAACCCCTTGATATCTAGAGTCAAACTTTAATCGAGACGTACGAGTTCTACTCGAGTTCTTCTTGTGGGTGAATCCAGAAAAACTTAAATTAAAATTATTAAACAGCACTTTTAAATTGAGATACTTCCTCAATAAAAAGAGCAGTTTAATGTAAACTTGGAGTAGTGAGATGATCGCATGTTCTAAACTGAACAGGTCCACTGCACCATGCCCTTAGACCCATATGTAGCAGAATCCAACTATCTCCTAGATCGAAGTTGTGTGCTTTAAGCGTCACCGCCCAAAGCAAGGTCTTCTATAAAACTGAAAAGTGGTATTTTATAAAATGTAACTTCATATTTTTTTACTTCTTCCAAACCTTGCGTGTTTCAAGAACACTGGTTTGAATAAAGTTGTTCCGCTTTGATGAAGCTTGATAACGGTATCAGTATTTATTTTAAAGGCGCTAAAATTATCAAAGGTCAGTCAACAATATAAAGTCCAATTGTACTACGCCAATTTTTCGAGATATTTCTTTAATTATTTTGTGCGACACACGTTTTGTCAAGATGCGTTCACCGCTCCTAAGTTTTCGTATATTTGAACTTGCTCTCTCACGCTATGCGATTAAATTAGGTTAAATCAATCTCGATTTAATTAAGTAGATGTAATTAACTTAATGCTCTTTAATTATAATTATCGTGATACCTCTCACATGAAAAAGGAACGCCATAAAAGATCGATTGCCTTTGGATTAGAAATGTAAACAAAATATCTCGTTCCTCTTTAGCCTACATTCATTTGTTTAGTTGATTGCTTTTATTGTTCGTAACTTGCCGAGCATAAACTTCCCCTAACGCTGAATTAAAGAGTAGAAGCCCCGCTGTGAGTGAGCTTTTCGTTAATTTTTTGACCATTCAGGTTGATTCTTGCCTAAGGTTTGATGAGCGCCCCCACGCCATTGAGGAAGTAACAACTACATGTTTTACTTCCATAGACTGAAACAAGAAAGTTAGCGTGCTATATTAGTTTCCTCTGAACTTACACGCAACGTGTTGTTTGCTTAAGTATTGTTTTTCTTATAATTGTGTTAGACAAATCCAAACAAAACAACCGCAACTTCATTTTTCTGGAGGAGAAAGCAAGCTCTAAAGCTACTCAACAAACGTTTCGAGAGTTGTATTACTTTTCGTTTCAATAGACAGATAGCTTTAATATTCCAAATACTTTGTAAAATACTTAGTTAATTTCTTTCGTAATACAGATTTTTTTTAAACGACAGTTGCCATTCATTGTGTTTATGGAGATGACATATTGAACAAAGGAAGTCACGAACCGAGTAATTAATTGTTTCAGTGCGATCTGATTGACTCTTAGCGATGAAACAATTGACGCTGTATAATTGGACAAATTGTTTCACAGAGGGTCCTCATTGACCATGTTGATTGATCCACTGTATACTCAAGTCAACAAACGAAAACACACTTCGCTGTGGTACCATTTCCAAATGATTTCCTATTGCAATTTTCCTTTAGGGATACATTCAAAATTCTAAGTTGGTGGGCCCAACCTAACTCTGCCTTGACAGACAGTAAGCCGGTGACGCCCTGTAGTCAAAGTAAAACTTGATCGAAATTGAACTGAGAAATTTATGCTGTGCGCGATTATTTTTGGCGTGGCTTAAGTTAAGAGCCTTCCTAAATTAGCGATTCTCATACTGGTCACATTCTTACAAATATATAGTTAATGATGCCTTCTTGATGTGGCTATTTGTCGCTTGCTCACAACTTTATTATAATTAATTCCTAAATCAACTGCTGAACGTTTTCCACATCACTGACATGTGTAAGCACTAAAAAGTAGCGAGAGTTCTTTTTTTTGTTGAATAGATTTTAGTTTGTTCACGTGTCCTTGGTTTGACTGTAGAAAGGCTGAACGTAAATTTACCAAATGGCGTTGATGGTATGAGCCTGCAAAAACAGCCGTGTCTCTGCCCCTTTTTTTCCGCGCCGCTTGGGAGCTTTCGCGAGGAACGAGGAGAGATAGCTGGCTGGCTGGCTGGCTGGTATTGGATGTGCGATGATAATTGAAACGCGTTGTAAGAGCGATGCGATCACAGCGAGTGTCCTTATTCCTGGTGGAAAGGTAAGTTCGTGACGTTCATTTATTGGCCACCTGTGGAAAGCGTCTCAATTCCGTAGAAGTGGGGATTGAAAAAGGTCGGTTGCGGTCTGTGGCTACAGCGCCGTCAAAGCCGATTACCAAGTGGCCACGCGCGTTGAGATGGCGTTAAGAATGACAAATGGCATCACGTTCTAGTGTGGTCCAATTTTACTAACCATTTCACTATCAAAGTTAAGGATAGAGTATCTAAGGTAGCTTTACTTTGTGAGTCTGTGGACGAAATCCTGTTAAGTGACCACTCAAACAGAATGAGACATCATTGGCAGCAATTTTACTTGCTACGAATGTTTTTTAGTATTTTACAAAATGACTGATTTGGAAATTGGGTTGAATTTCTGGGTTCATTGTGGTGGTAGTCCAGTACGGGGAGTTGGCAAGACGTCCGATCGAAATGGTGTTAAATCACCTCCAAGAGTAATTTTTTAAATGGCGTTCAAATATTGTAAGAACAACACCCCAATGGGTGGGGGAAAGACGACCAAACAGTGTCAAAAGAAAACCAATTAATGTTGGAATTCATACGTCCAATAAATGTACTGAAGAATGACATCAAAAATTACGGTCAGTGAATGGTGAATGTTACATCTGGTATTGCTAAAAGGCGGTTGAATTAACAACAAAACCTTGTTTTAGAATACTCTGATCTGGCTCCAGAGGTCAGCTCTCGAAATTTCCTCAGAAAAAAGCCTCTGGCACTCAGGGCATTGTTGGAATGTCCCCGAAATAACAAAGGAATGTACCTCCAAACTGGTTTGGAACGAAATCAAAATGGGCGACTACAGGATACCTTTTCCATCTGGTGACGGGACATCATATCCTCTTTGCTTTTCGGAACGAACTGATCCCAATTAACATGTGGTCAAGTTGGAATGCGACACAGAAAAGGCGTTTTGAAAGCTGAAGTCTAAGAAAGTTAAAATTTAGGGTCAAGTTATGATGGGAAGACAATTGTTACAGTCGATGGGAAAACTGACAGGATGAGCGTTTATTCTCTCACTGGCTCACCTTGCATTCTTTGCCCCAACTTGTCACCTCCTTCCAACCATCTATGACGATCCCATAACTGAGCTACACCAGCACGTATTGTAGCACGTGAATAACTCCTGCATGTGTGCAGCAGTTGTGAACATCCTAAATGTCCAACTAGCTGATTACGTACGTACGTTACAATGAAAGACGAATGTTTGAAGATTTTAGTACGTTAATTGATACTGGATTTCGATACCTAGTCGGGATAATTCCTCTAGCGTTTGTATCATGATACCAGACAAGAGCGGAGAGTCCAAAAACTTGATCTAAGTTTTACTCAGGGATTTTTACAGAACAGCATTTCAAACTACATGTTGTTACATGTTAGCCAAGAATCCACAATTAATGTTTCATGTTTTTTTTTTCACGTTGTGGGAATTCCAGTTTTAGATACTATTCCATCTCCCAGACGCCGAGCTGGGAAATGAGGGTAGTCGGAAATGAAACGTTGAAGACTGAGATTTCAGTCCGGTCCAATTCAGTATCAACTCCTCCCTCAACCATGTCAACAATGGCCCAAAGTGATAAAAGACTGAAAAGATTGCGGAAAATTGCTGAAGAAACCATTTAAGGTGTGATGTGGTCGGATATGAGCGACATCATGATTTGAGTCATCCTTGTTTGGTTTCCTGGATCGATGTAATCCCCATTTCGTTTAATGAAGGTTGTCTCATTAGCTAGAGATCACTTAGAACGAAAAAATAGTCTATTTTATTTGTTGATCTACCAGTCTTGGGGTTGTATCGCCTGTTTATGTTGCTCATGTTTTTTCTTCATTGTAAAGGCTATAAGAGAGTATACGTTTTTAATTACTTAGATAATTCAGTGGAAAAACAATTTTCTTCCGTTTTATAAACTGGTACCAAAGACAGCTTAGCTGAAGATAACATTTCCGACAAAGGGTGTATTCCGCAACCCTGGCAATTTACACTGAGCTGCGATGAGGGAACAAAAATACTAAAAAATCTCGTTCATTAACGGAGAAGCTTGAGTCGGGCATCCAATGTCATCATTTTTCATCAAAATTGAAGGATATTTTCGGTGGCACAGAAAGTGAAAGAGGCCAGCTGCCGTATACAGGAACGGTCCACTTTAAAAGCCTTTTCTAAATCAAATATATAGCACTCGAAGACTTACTTGAGCTCCCAACAATTCGGGGAACTTGGCTATGTATACGTAAAAGTTCTGAATAAATACTTCTAACGCTTAAGCCAACTCCTTGGCTATTGCCTAATTAATGGACACGCCACTCACTAAAAAAGAAATTGTCTTAGAAAGAAACTCGGTTAATGGGCCACCTTATGCTTTTCGAGATTTGCGAACGATGTTAGCAGCACGTAACCTCAATTACGGTGGCGGTTCGGCGAAACACGACACCGGGGTGCACTTTTCTCCTGTTTTCTCGGCCTGCATCGGACAGCCGATGATGAACAAGACGGCTGAGTGCAAGACGAGAGTAAGACAAAGAGCAATGTGAGCGAAAAGGGGGATAATTACAATACAAAAAGGAAAAAAAAAAGAAATATCGCCCGCACCTTTAAACATGAAGATACCTTTCATTATTTTTAGATACCGAGGAGTCTGGCTTTCGGCGCGGCTGATAAAAGGGAGGGTAGTCAAGTCATTTTCGTCATTTTTATTCAGTGAGCCAGGTGTAAATGACTACAAATGTTATCTTATCAGTATCTCATTCTTTATATTGGCTGTGTCTTTCTTTTCTGCGCTGAATGACGTTATTTAAATTCTAGAAACAAACAGGAAATGAATAGCATCTTATCTTAAAAGGTGGGGCCCCAATACTTAGCACTGAAACCACAAGACAATTAATAGCAGAAAAAAAAGGTACCAATCCACGAAATAAATTGCATATGTTTCTAACATTTGACCTGAGCTTGAAGGCATGTTTAAGCACTGTTTGTAGGCCTGTATAATCATGTAAAAAAAATTCAGATATTTTAATCGAATGAAAACGCGCGCGGCGGCCCACTGGTACGCTCGCACGGACAAGCGAGCAGGCTAGTAGAAAATGTCATACGTCTACATCCCGTAACGGGTTTGAGGGGTGAAGACGTGGGACATTACAGACTACAAGCAGGCCGGCTTTCCAAACAAGGGCAAAAAAGAGTCAACTTTCTTCAGTTTGTTCTTACGTCTGAGCAGATATTTTAAGCAAATAATCCAGCAATTTTCAACCGGATTTTGTTGATTTCCTCAGTGCAGTTTTTATATAAATGTCGCCAGTGATAAGTTAAACATACTCCAAACATATGTTTTCGCTGACGTCTTTATCACATTTATCAGAACGTTTTCAATCTACAAGACGCCCCGCAACATTTCAAACGCCTTGAAATAACACTTCTTGGTTTTTAATACTGTCCTTGTAAAAAATAAAACAATAGCTTTTTACTGAGGCCCCAGGGAGACAAGAAGATTTGACTCTTTTCAAGTTTAGTTTGCTTGTAATGCACTTCTTTTCATATTGTAAAGAATAAAATATCAGACACAGGTCCTTGACCTCAACGCCAGCAAGAGAGAATTGACGCCAGCTATAATGTATAAATTGTGAAAGAGTTCTTTGTTCAATTCGTAATTATTTCTTGGCTTTATTTACTCTATTTATTGATTTTTCTTTCCCAAGAACAATCTTGTTTATGTCTATTATATTAAAATGTTTATTTTATGAACGAAAACTCTGTGTCTAAAGAAAATTATACACTGGGCTGGCGAAATTTACTTAACATTTGATTCTATTTTAATTAAAGTTCGGAAGGCTTCTTTAAAGGGTCTAAATTAAACTGACGGAGATGAACTACACAATCCTATCAACACATCTAGAAGTTCTGCCATTAGTTTCTTGACAGTGGTAACAGATAGCCTCTTTCAAAGAACTTTAATTAGTCAAATATATTTGAAATTGAAATCATGACTTTTAATCAATTTTAAGACTCTTATCGAGGTAGATATTAAATAAGTTGGCAGGGTTCTCTGCTTAATTAAAACCTTTTAAGACAATTTTGAATTGATTAAGTATGTCTTGAAAGCAAGACCCGTAATTTGGTATTAAATATCTTCAACACATATAAANAAAAATTGACGCCAGCTATAATGTATAAATTGTGAAAGAGCTCTTTGTTCAGTTCGTAATTATTTCTTGGCTTTATTTACTCTATTTATTGATTTTTCTTTCCCAAGAACAATCTTGTTTATGTCTATTATATTAAAATGTTTATTTTATGAACGAAAACTCTGTGTCTAAAGAAAATTGTACACTGGGCTGGCGAAATTTACTTAACATTTGATTCTATTTTAATTAAAGTTCGGAAGGCTTCTTTAAAGGGTCTAAATTAAACTGACGGAGATGAACTACACAATCCTATCAACACATCTAGAAGTTCTGCCATTAGTTTCTTGACAGTGGTAACAGATAGCCTCTTTCAAAGAACTTTAATTAGTCAAATATATTTGAAATTGAAATCATGACTTTTAATCAATTTTAAGACTCTTATCGAGGTAGATATTAAATAAGTTGGCAGGGTTCTCTGCTTAATTAAAACCTTTTAAGACAATTTTGAATTGATTAAGTATGTCTTGAAAGCAAGACCCGTAATTTGGTATTAAATATCTTCAACACATATAAATTTTTTTTTTTTTTTGCTGGATCCCGGCTCGGCTAAGACTTTCACTGCTGAGACCGTGCTATTGAGTAGTGGGAGAAAAATTGAAGAAGGCAAAACGAGAGCACGGAACAGTTCGCTCAAATTAAAATCTGTCGACTCAAAAGACGTGTTTTTCGTGAGCAAACAAAATAAGTCAGTTATATGTATTCGCCACAATTCGTATATACTGCTAATAAAAAACCTATTAATTAAAACACATCCCGCGCGACATAAAAGATCCCTGTTATAAGCACGACCTTGCCAATACGGTACGCTGTACGAGGCTGTTCTATCGTACTTCTAGCTACTATCTTAAATGAGGCAACTGAGCGGTAGTGCTGAGCAGAAATGCTAATGCTTAGGTGCCTTTTTTTGCTGTACAAAGTGATTCTGTTTAGTTGGAGGACTTAAGATTTCATGTCAAAGCCTCCGAATACTTTTCTTTTAATGTTCTGTACGTTTGTAATGCGGTATAAGCGATACTTGTTTATATTTCCAGTACGCGGACGAAATCCTTCCCGCGAGATTTATTTTAATAAAAGCTATTGTACTCTACGCTTTCCTGTTACCGAAGTTGATTTATGTCTGCGTGAAACGACCGCCTGTGGCCTTTCGTCAGACAAAACTTAGGAGGTGTCTGTATTTCTTGCGGTTCATTTCGTCTTTACACGAGTAAACGTTCCTTGTTTCCTGTATTTAATACTTAGAGTGATACTGGCCTAAAACAAATAAAAGACGAACTTTAGAGTTGCAGGGTTTTTTTTTTCAAGCATGGGTTAAGGGTTAATCACAGCGTCGACATGTTCTCAAAAGTGATAATCGCCATACTCCCTAACACACGGTACCCGCCTACACCATGCTTATTTTAGTGGACCAAAAACGCTCATTTTGCAAATATAAAAATCATAGATCGACTTATCTTTCGTGAGGTTAGAGTATAGTCTCTCTTTCATTATACCCGTAAGCGTACTTTTCTCGACCTTGCGAAGTATCTCGTTGCGGCGAAAAACGCGCCCCTTTATCTCCTGTCGTGTCGACGTCTAGTTCTTGACAGAGCCTGTTTAGAAGAGCTTCTGTTTCGCTAAGCCAGTAAGACGTGTCATATTTTGTTTCAAGTGACAGGTTAAATACACCGTTTCTAGAGGTATTTTCGTAAAGAGATTTTCGAGAATTCGGTTTTGCAGAGTTGTGCTGCATTGGCCTTTCCACAGCAAAACAATTCGCATTTATGTCACTTACTGCCGATTCATTGAATGTTTGCTCGTCCCTTATCACTGTTCTGGGGGCACTTCCGTTACTTAAACTCGGCGCAGAGTTTTTAAATCCATTTGCAGTAACCTTTTTATTTAAAACTTCCTTCCGTAAATGCTGGTCTCTGTTGTCTTTGGTTTCTTTTAGCAATGCACTAGTCACAGAGTCCATTGTGGTCGTACTTCTAAATGTCGAATCTGACCTCAATCGCTTTTGCTTTGGCTTAACGCCGAAGGATTCTGTCCTCTGTTTTCTTGCCTGCCTTCTTTGGCTGGCCTTACTGCACTGGCACTTAACAATCGCCAGACAACCTCTTCGGAAGTTGCCGTTACACACACCATAAATGATGGGGTTTAGTACAGAATTTGCATAAGTGAAAGCCCCGCATACAAAAGATATCAGTGCTTCATATTTTATAAAAGTTTGGCTGTGCGAGGAGAAATCGTGGCTTAGCCAAAGTAACTGATGTGGCATCATAAACACCAAAAAGATCACAACCACAAACAGAAACATTTTTGCAGTTTTTTCATTCTGGCGCTTGCGTTTCTGAAGTGCATACTCGGCGGCGTCTGAAGCACTGTGATACAGTTTACCAGAGTTGGTTGAAGTTCGTGATTTTTCGCCACGACCCGTGCTTAGTGCCGCAGCTTTGCTAGAGTTTTTGCAGAGTTTTAGACCAATGCGCGTGTAAATCACAGACATGACGATGAGTGGAAGTCCGTACTGCAGCGCAAATAAAAATACACACGACCTTGCCAATACGGTACGCTGTACGAGGCTGTTCCATCGTACTTCTAGCTACTATCTTAAATGAGGCAACTGAGCAGTAGTGCTGAGCAGAAATGCTAATGCTTAGGTGCCTTTTTTTGCTGTACAAAATGATTCTGTTTAGTTGGAGGACTTAAGATTTCATGTCAAAGCCTCCGAATACTTTTCTTTTAATTTTGCCATGTTCTGTACGTTTCTAATGCGGTATAAGAGATACTTGTTTATATTTCCAGTACGCGGACGAAATCCTCCCCGCGAGATTTATTTTAATAAAAGCTATTGTACTCTACGCTTTCCTGTTTATACCGAAGTTGATTTATGTGTGCGTGGAAACGACCGCCTGTGGCCTTTCGTCAGACAAAACTTAGGAGGTGTCTGTATTTCTTGCGGTTCATTTCGTCTTTACACGAGTAAACGGTCCTTGTTTCCTGTATTTAATACTTAGAGTGATACTGGCCTAAAACAAATAGAAGACGAAGTTTAGAGTTGCAGGGTTTTTTTTTTCAAGCATGGGTTAAGGGTTAATCACAGCGTCGACATGTTCTCAAAAGTGATAATCGCCATACTCCCTAACACGCGGTACCCGCCTACACCATGCTTATTTTAGTGGACCGAAAACGCTCATTTTGCAAATATAAAAATCATAGATCGACTTATCTTTCGTGAGGTTAGAGTATAGTCTCTCTTTCATTACACCCGTAAGCGTACTTTTCTCGACCCTGCGAAGTATCTCGTTGCGGCGAAAAACGCGCCCCTTTCTCTCCTGTCGTGTCGACGTCTAGTTCTTGACAGAGCCTGTTTAGAAGAGCTTCTGTTTCGCTAAGCCAGTAAGACGTGTCATATTTTGTTTCAAGTGGCAGGTTAAATACACCGTTTCTAGAGGTATTTTCGTAAAGAGATTTCCGAGAATTCGGTTTTGCAGAGTTGTGCTGCATTGGCCTTTCCACAGCAAAACAATTCGCATTTATGTCACTTACTGCCGATTCATTGAATGCTTGCTCGTCCCTTATCACTGTTCTGGGGGCACTTCCGTTACTTAAACTCGGCGCAGAGTTTTTAAATCCATTTGCAGTAACCTTTTTATTTAAAACTTCCTTCCGTAAATGCTGGTCTCTGTTGTCTTCGGTTTCTTTTAGCAATGCACTAGTCACAGAGTCCATTGTGGTCGTGCTTCTAAATGTCGAATCTAACCTCAATCGCTTTTGCTTTGGCTTAACGCCGAAGGATTCTGTCCTCTGTTTTCTTGCCTGCCTTCTCTGGCTGGCCTTACTGCACTGGCACTTAACAATCGCCAGACAACCTCTTCGAAAGTTGCCGTTACACACACCATAAATGATAGGGTTTAGTACAGAATTTGCATAAGTGAAAGCCCCGCATACAAAAGATATCAGTTCTTCATAGTCTATAAAAGTTTGGCTGTGCGAGGAGAAATCGTGGCTTAACCAAAGCAACTGATGTGGCATCATAAACACCAAAAAAATCACAACCACAAACAGAAGCATTTTTGCAGTTTTTTCATTCTGGCGCTTGCGTTTCTGAAGTGCATACTCCGCGGCGTCTGAAGCACTGTGATACAGTTTACCAGAGTTGGTTGAAGTTCGTGATTTTTTGCCACGACCCGTGCTTAGTGCCGCAGCTTTGCTAGAGTTTTTGCAGAGTTTTAGACCAATGCGCGTGTAAATCACAGACATGACGATGAGTGGAAGTCCGTACTGCAGCGCAAATAAAAATACTGTGTAAATTTTAGCCAAATAGTATCCCTTGGGCCAGTTTTCGTCGCAGGTGGGTGAATCCGAAGCATTGTATGTCAAAATCACCGAGTAAGGTGTTACGGCTAATGCTGAAATGCAGTAAATTGCCAGGATCATTTTCAGACACTTGCCTCTCGTTATGCGGTACCTCAGATTAAGAGGACAGATGATAGAGACGAAGCGATCGATCGATATTGCCACAAGAGTTAAAGCAGCTGCGTTAGTGGAGAACGTAGCTAGCGGCCAGATAATCTTGCACAGAACCCCACCATAAGGCCAAAAACCAAGCTCAACCTCCGGCAGATCAAATGCTATGCTTGATATGGTCGTAGTGAGATCGCAGGCTGCCAAGTTGGCGACGAAGATCATAGGCACGGTTCTCATTTTCCGTAAGATCAACACAGTCAATATAACCAAAGTGTTGCCAGTCACGCTAAACAGAAATATTGGCCCAAAAACACAGTATCTTGCAACGCGCAAATCCACTTGAACCGCGGGAGTTGACGAAGTTCGGTGTTCTTCGATTGCAGCGAGCGTAGAAACGCCTGTGGCGTTTTCCGACACGTTAGACATTTCAGAAGGCGAAAGAGGACAACAGAAACTAACCTTGATTTCCAAGCGGGTAAATAACAGATCTCAGTTTATCAGATAACTCGCGGAACAGCCGTTAAAGTATCACTGAAAGCGATAAAATGCCGGATACGTTGCTTGAATACGTTAAAGGCCACCACGTCCTTTTCTGCAAATATTAAGGCTTAACGGTACCACGGTAAGCCCAAGAGATTCCTACTTTCTTGCTAATCTTGACTCGAAAGCTGGGAGCAAATAAGGAAAAAGCTCTGCAGGAAGCATCTGATATCCGCGGAGTCGAGTTGACAAAAAAGGCTGATAACATCTCTGTGCGCACTCATCCAGACAAAAGACGAGAAATTTTCGGCATTCTCATTCCTTGAGCAAACAAGGATAAAGTAAACATATAACAAAGTTAATAGCTTGGGAAATGAATGTTATTGTAAAGGTCACAGGACTAACGAATAGCGTTCAGCTGAAGGTTTTTCTCGGCAGAACTCGCTAGAGAGTCATAAGATTCATCCGCACTGCTATCAAATTTATGCAAAGTTGGAGGTATGGGTCTTCTGAGTAAGATAATTACTTCAATAAGCGTCAAATTCGGGTCAAATCAAATCAGCTGTGTTAAGACTTCGCTTTGCCTCCGCTAGCCGAACGTCCAACGAATCATCATCGTAAGCTTTCGTCGTCTTCACATGTATTGCCGGCCTATAAAGCCTTCGGAAGGATGAATTTGGTATTATAAAATGGAAAAAATATCTTGACTCTTCGAAACCATGTTATGACGTGAACATGCACGGCAAGTGAATAGGGACACGCCTACCTGGGTAAATAAGCCAGAGATAATTTGTTGGGGAGTTATAAGCTGTCACGGAGACACTGTTGTGCCCTGCAACATATGATTTCCTTACAGATAATCCCATCTAGAAAGGTTAACTAAGGTATAAGTTAATGCAGAGTTTATTACATCTTGTTAAGTCGCACGCTTTCTCATAGTTCCAGCTCCCTTTTAGTTGGTTACATTAACGGTAGAGTCAGAGTCGTGACTGGTAACGGAAAGGAGCGTTTAGTTATTCCGCCCCATACTCATGTGTGGGCTATTTTAAAAAACGCCCTCAAGCGTTCTACGCACACTGCGTACTCAACTGGGAGGTGCTGTTTTGTGATTTTCAGCTTCTTGGGTCTGGATAAAATAAAGCCATAAACTGTGACAACTGAAAGAAAGCTGACCTTTGTAGCCCTTGCGCAGGACGTTGAACAAACCAAAAAGAAAAAGAAACCTTTTCGGCTACTTTTTTCAATGGCCTTACGTAAGTTACGTAATGTGTTTCACTTTGCCATAGATTGGAAGCTTTATCCGGTCGGTCCTTTAAACCTCTGGTTGCCATTGTTTGAATACGGCTTTAGAATATAATTACAAACATCATCAATTATTGATGATGGAGGCAAATAAATGGTAGATAGATAGATTGATACAGTTTATTCACGAATTTTTAGAGCCAATTTAGATCTTAGGATTTTTTTGCCCGGTGACGGAAGCGAATCCCGTCGTCAGAAGCAAACAAAACTCATAAAAAACAGCACGGGCGGAAATGATTTAGGTTTAATTTGAAGAAAGAGCGTACTAAGTAAACATAGCATTAGAAAAAGAGGTCTCAATACAAACTGAAAACTGTATATACAAACAAATGGCACCTTTTCAATGAGTACGGAGTGTAATAAACTGCGGGGGAAGTTGAAAAACAGAAGAAAAGCTTACTTGTCATGAAGCAGAGGAAACAATCACAAACATCCTCCCTTGATTTAAGTAACGTATTTTGCTTGTTTTTGTTGTTGTTTTTCCCTACATATGATAAAAACATACTGAATTATATGCATTTAACACTAAGTTCTCACTTAGGGCAAAATTTTGGCTTAGGAGAGGGGTAGGTGGGCAGTTTCCCAGAAACGTATAATACTTTTTGGGCAGTGAAAAAATCAGACTTTATACGTGTTCATTTAATACGTATTCCGGATAAAGTGTTATTTTGTTCAGTGTGTTCAGTGTCTGCTTGCCGAAAGAGCTGATCGATAATTTAGGTTTCTGGGAAACTGCTCACCTACCCCTCCCCTAAGTCAACATTAACACTTACTTCTCCAATAAGGGCAAAATGTTGGGTTAGGGGAGGGGTAGGTGGGCAGTTTCCCATAAACTCCAATTGATCCGAAAGAGCTTACAAGTACAGTAATAAAAATCCTTTAATTTATTACATGATAGGAAAAAATGTTCTAAAAAATTGAGATGTAGGCGTGACTTTTAGCATTCCGGCAAATATCACCAGCTCGAGGGAGCGGACTTCAAGAGGTCTTAAAAAAGACTGCAGCTGTATTTAGTTTGGTCGTCTAAGTGGCATTAGCCTTACTCTTTCAAAAAACCAACCGAAACCGCCCAGTTTATCAGATGATTAATTCTATCACATCTTCAAATATACTAGGAAATATGGGAAGCACTTTGCGGGCGCTAAGGCCGGCGACGCAAATGATGAAAGTTTCATTCGGATGTTAACATTGCTCTCGCACGTTAGCGCTGAATAATGTGAGTCTTTAAGACTTTTAAAAGTTCCAGAGTGACCTAGGGTGGCTGAAGGCACACATCCACAAATAGAGGTGGAATGTTGTATTGTAGGTGCGGCACAGTTTCTAGTCATTGTTCTACACAATTTTTGCTTGAGTTAGCCATCATTCCCCCTTTTAAAGCCTGGTAACGGAGTACCCGCACTGGGATGGCTCCTACTGATGGGCTCTTCCCCAACCTAGAATAATTTGGTATTCAAAGCCTCCAGAAATCAAACCTAAAATTTGACGTACAGGGTACACAGACTTGAAGTGTCTGGATGATCACCCCTTGGTTTCGCAAAGTTGAGTAAGTGCCAGATTGTGCTGCATGAAAAAGAAGCGATTTTATTACTAAAAAGCCAGGGATCATGATGTAGGCATTAGTTTAAGCCGTTCCAAGTCGCTTTTCATGGCTCAGAAAGGCTTTATAACCCATAAATATACAAGGGTAAATCGAGGCCTCTTTCCGTGGGCACTGTTTGTCTCAGAGGGCTATGTATGGACCGGTTGAGATTTACAACATTTTTTAATTTGCTCTCTCTTCCTTAGAGGATACCGAGCAATATGAGTGTGAGATAAATTTAAAGGATGTNCACTGGGATGGCTCCTACTGATGGGCTCTTGCCCAACCTAGAATAATTTGGTATTCAAAGCCTCCAGAAATCAAACCTAAAATTTGACGTACAGGGTACACAGACTTGAAGTGTCTGGATGATCACCCCTTGGTTTCGCAAACTTGAGTAAGTGCCAGATTGTGCTGCCTGAAAAAGAAGCGATTTTATTACTAAAAAGCCAGGGATCATGATGTAGGCATTAGTTTAAGCCGTTCCAAGTCGCTTTTCATGGCTCAGAAAGGCTTTATAACCCATAAATATACAAGGGTAAATCGAGGCCTCTTTCCGTGGGCACTGTTTGTCTCAGAGGGCTATGTATGGACCGGTTGAGAGTTACAACATTTTTTAATTTGCTCTCTCTTCCTTAGAGGATACCGAGCAATATGAGTGTGAGATAAATTTAAAGGATGTGCAACTCGCGATTTCGTGATGTTTGGGTCAGAGATTACTTGTCAGTAAAGTAATTACTGGCACGAGTCTCATGTTAAATTTGTGTTATGGGTATAAATCTTCTTAATTCTCCAAGACTCATGCATAGTCGGTTGTCAATCCTGTCCGACACCTAGATATAAAATGTGGGTCTAACGTTCGAATAAGTGGGTAAAATTTGTCACTCCAGCACTTAATCGTCAGTCTCATACAAATTTCAGTTTTTTTTTAACTTTTATTTATGAGGCACTCAAGGGATTTAAAGCAGCGTTAAGCTGACTCCGAATTTAGCATCAACGGTGAGAGACCTCTCTCGGCATGATCAAACATATTTCAAGTTTTCGGCTTAGGTTATCAAGATATGGATTTTCCTGTTAATCTAAGTTGACCTACTTCCCTCGTCTCGAATTATATTATGCCTTATAAGAACTATAGACCGTGGGCGGTCGTTTTTCATTGTTCTTTCCTCAGAGCTACGCTCGGCGAGCGAAAGAGTGAAATTATGGGGCTTTATTTGCCGCTCGCCCCTCACGCGTGCTCCCGATCTCTTGCTGTGACACAAAAGAAAAGTGAGAGACTGCTCGCAGTCATCTACCAAGATAAACAAAAGAAATTCCAGCGTAATCATTGCCTGACATTTTATCCCAAAAGCCTGGTCCCAAGCGTTGCTTCACCCGCAAAATGGAGAGTTGAAAAACGTTGAATACGTAAAGCGAGCAAAAATTCCGGGCCACACCTGCCACAAGAAAATTACGTCAGGCGAAGGCACAGGACAACCAGGGAATTAGGAGTTGCACAGACCTCAAATCAAATATACGGACTTAAGGAATTTGCTTTTTAATGTGTCACTACAATTTGACCAGATTTCTTTTCATACAGTGGTTAAATAAAAACCTATTTGACATATTTGGAACCTAAAAGAAGAATTTCAAAAAAAACTCTGTCCATCTGTTACACGCTCCGTGTTCGCCACAGGCGATTTAAATTATACACGAGTTCCATAGTTTTCATGTACATAATAGAATTCAAGTCGAAGGATTATCCGCGGAAGAACATGGAATACCGTCAATTTTGAAGCCACCTAGGGAGTCTATAACAGGATTAAAATTTTTAAGTCATTTGTGCTGTTTACAAAAATACATTTTTTTTCACATCATACGCGTTCACATGCTCTATGTAAACAATTGTGGTACTTATCCCTCGTCCAATGTTCCACCCCTCTGTTTTCTCACAGGAGATTTCCTAGGCTCGATTACCAGCCGCTGCTCGGGAAAATGAGCCCGCACTCATCCCCCTCTCTCCTCGGGGAGGATCAAAGACCTGACCCGGGAGACGGCGGAAATCGAGCCAAGAGATTTCCACGCACTCTCTGTTATATGATCCTGAAGAACGACAAGAGACCTTTTGAAGTACCTTAAGTATTCTCTTATTCTAAAGAAATATATACAGAAAAAGCCTTAATCCCACAAGTCCTTTGTAACTGCGACGACAAACTAGGTTACTTTATTATATCCTTTTTCACTCATGACGAAAGCACCACGTCTGACGTGGTCTTAAAATATCACGTGATGTTCTGCCTTTCGTCTGATTGGTCAATACGTGTATGAGAAACCAAGGTTTGAATTTATACGTTGAAAGAATACTTTTAAAGTTGTTAACTACACAGTTTCCTCTCAGACTGACACATCGTAACCAGAAGTAGGTTGATTCGCCCCAGTAGGAACTGCTTCCTTCAAAGAATGTATTTTTACAAGCTTCAACCACCAGCTGATTTTTTCAGCCTATTGTGAGTCGCCTATTGGTATTACCAACTGATTTGTTCAAACACATGATACCGACTGAAAGGGCTTCAAGACAGACTTTAGGTTCGTTGAAAGGAGCGGCTTTTGGTAACGAGATCGACTGTGAACGAACACAGCTACATCCTTCGCACCTGCGTGACAAGCTCAGGCGCAAACGAGAAACAATTCGCGTGAACGTTAACCCTCACGGACACTTGTTTCTCTCATTCATCATTTGCGAGAACCACTGTCAAAAGAGCAAGTGTGCAACGTTACTGCGCATGCGTATTTCTCTTGCATTGAGCGAGAACTACTGTTACACAAAAATGAAGCGCTGCGCTTACTCATGTCGCTTGTCACGCAAGCGGAGAACGAACTTAAATGAACGTGTTTCCTGCATTTATATTATATAATAGACTGATTCATTCATGAGACGTGCTGTAAATGCTTCGGAGCGTCTTTAAACATGTACTCAAGTCTGTAAGCCTCCGCTAGCAAGAGACTGATTTGCTGGTCATCCCAGTTGCTTGTTGGTAAATTCTGTAGTAACAGCATTAACCCCTAGTGAAAGACAGGGAATGAAGTATAAGATCAACTATGACTTTGCGTATTTAAAGTCCCAGGCGATTTTTGAGGTCGATCACCGAGTTACCGAGTTTGAGAGCTGGGATGTTATGTTCTTGGTGAGAGGATCGGGAAAACCCAGGGGGGAGGGGTACTCGATCAGTATTTGGGTAAAGGTGAGTCGCTGAAGCTTTGAAACCCTGACCCTGTTTAGGAAAAAAATTCCAAATTACATACCCTGTTTAAGACAACACCCTCAATTTTATGACCCTTTTTAGGACAAGGAGTAAAATGCACGCCGTCTTGTTTTATAGCCATTGCGTTTGTGTGTTTGGAGTACAAACAAATTTCACGTAGCAAATCAAATCGATCGTGCAGGCCATACCCTCTTTATAACTAGGGCAGACTGTCACTCGCACGAAATTATATACCCTTAGGTTTAGAACAGACTCGCGCGAAATGATACACCTTGTTTAGGATAGGTCAAAAACCATACCCTGTTCAGCGGCACATCCCCGTATAGGCCATATGAGGGAGTACCTCCTTCCCCCCCGCCAAAGGAGGGGGGGAGTAGGAACCTATTTATTCCGTTATATCTGTCATCCCCAAACTCTGAACCTTCGCTTTATTTGTACTCTTTTGGGCAATCAACCTCGACAATCACACGGAAAAACAGGGTAAATGTACGGTGAACAGCCAAAAGCTGAGGGCAAAATTCAAGGCGAAATATAGTTTTCCGTTCTTGTAACAGCTTTAGCCCACGGGGCACCAGAAGTAATTATCAAAAACTGTCCGTAAATTTGCGCTTAGTCGTGGGAGCATTTCCCCATTTTCCGCACGTTGCCGTCGTATGAATATGACTACAGCAGACATAATTTACAATCGAGAAAAAGACGTCTTGCAACGTGACATGTACAAAATGCGAACAAGTGAAAAAAACAAACAAACGAGCAAACAAACAAACCTGAAAATCATTTTCCTGTATAATTTCTTGAGAAAAATTCTTCAGGAACGCCGCACAAACATACAGATGAAAAGACGCAAATCCATTTTCTACAGACTGGTAAAATGAAACAAAAAAATTACTTTTTGCCCTACAAAATCAAGAGAAACAAGGTAAAGAAATGATTTTGCATGCGTTCCCATTGTCTATGATTAAATACAAGGCCCAACCATGCTTAGCCAGTTTTCCTCTTCCCTTTTACGCAATTCAGGAGTTATTAATGTTTATCAATATAAAAAAGTGTTCCTCTTAATTACAGAATCATTTCAACAAAGCAGTGAAGATAATTTTTCAGTTTAAGTGTCACTCGGGTTGCTGCTTTTGTTGAGTGTCAAACTGCATCGCCCTATTTTCTTAACCAATCAGAAGTGAGTTGAAAACTAATTTTCATACGGTGTGCTTGGTAGCAGGTACTTAAATTTGCGTGAAATTCTGATCGGTTCATTCGTGTGTATACATACGTCTTTGTGACGCAAAACCATCCAAACACCGAGTTACCATTATGGCCGATCAATAATACCCAAGCATTTAAATGAACCAATCGCATGTCGAAACAATACATGTACATGTAGCTGCTGCCATGCGGGAAAACATGTGTGGTGTGAGCACGTCACAATTTGTTACGGTTTTACATCTGATTGGTCGAGAAAAAGGCGCGTGATTTTTAGGCCAATCACAAAGCGAACAATGAAAAACCAAAGCATTTACGAAAGTAATTTTAACATCCAAAAGAAACCACGGTACAAACCAAGTACGTATCCCAGAGTCGTATTGTAGATCTGAGCGGCATTTCTCGCATTAACAAATTGTTCATCCACCGGAAGGCAAATTGCAGGTACTCCACGTTATTTTTTTCAAGATGAGCATTGAGTGGTTCTGCAAAGGAAGAAGAAGTCGTAAGGAGTTTAGCTTAAGCAACAACGACGGCCACGGCTACAGGAACGTCACTTAAAAAGTGAATTCGCGCTGCTTCAAATTTTATCGAGTTTATTCCACCTCATTCACTTCAACAAATATTAGCGTACAAAAACATGTAATTCTATGGAGTGGAATTCTCGGAAATGTATCGAAGCGTCCTCCGCAAAACGTGAAATTAGGTATTTTCACGTCGCAGTCGTGCAACAATGGCAAAGTTGTTGTTTTGCTAATCTAAACCTATTGCTCTTCTGTCGTCCTTGCTGCCGTCATCGTCGTCGTCGCTTGAGCTCCCAATTTTTCCTTTCACAACACAAAAACTATTATCGTCTTTAATGATCGGTCCCTTTTAATCCTAGTAAGATGTCCGGGTATTAGGCCTTGAGAGACCACGAGCACCTCCAAATTATTCACCAATGGTCGGCAGCCTTTCGAATTATTTCAATTCCTTCATGTACAACTGCACAACGTGCCCTTGTTTCTATTTTCTGGCAACCGTTTTATCATTTTAGGTCAACAAAATCTGGGTAAAACTTGACAACATTTAAAGTAAGCCAGTCTGCATCCAAGACTTTTTTTCACCAAATAAAATTAATGTAAATTTTAAGCCTTGTGGGTGGTTCCTGCACAACTGGAGCAACTTTGAATATTAATGATCCAACTTGCTCACCGTCAATTCTCTGAATCAGCTCTCTAAGAGCATTTACTTTCATTTGAATTCCTGGCTGTGCGAATGTGTAATTATCCTGTAACAGAAAAGAAGACAATCCAAATTTAGTGGCAAAATATCGCACCTAAAAGAAGATTAGTATTTTCAAAAAGTCTGCACGGAGAAAATCTGCCGGCATGAACTTCTAAAATGAACTGAGAAAATTTTTTCTAGGAAACAGGACAAGAAACTGCATAACCTCGACCTGGAGAGCCAATTAGTGTCATGGACAGGAATGCTGTAAATGTTTAAGTGGCGTTACATACCTGTATACCATCTAAAAGTTTGCTCATACACCAAAAGCTGTCAGCCTCTATAACATCTAGAGTTTCTTTAGGTAACTGGCTGACATCGTGGTTCTCTAAATCACCATCTAGAAAATACATAAAATAAATCAATAAAACGTAATGTACAGTAATGTTTATTTCCAATCCATTCAGGGAAGCAAATTTCCAAATGGAGTACTTGACTGAGAAAGTGATTTTGGTATTTTGGATAAGTGGTCACATGTGAACAGGTTGCAAATGGGGGTTTGAGCTGAGTGACATTTGTGACTCAAAGCATTCATGAAGCAATACGGTATCTCGTGCTACATGAGTATAGACATACCTACATACGCAGACAAAAACACCACAAAAAAGGGCGTGACCAGGTCATTGATTCCTTGGACATAACCACTGGCAGGATGGCGGATAGCCCAGATGTACAAAATTCTCTCAAATATCTATAAAGCAACAGAAGTGGTATGCACTTTTAGGCAACTCTTACACTAAATCTCCTGTTTAGAAAGAAACCACTTTTTTGAATAAATCAAGCAAACTATTAGTAGGCATTGTAAATGGCAAACAAACAAGATTATGTTAAGACTGTGCATGTAGTCAAGAAAGTACACTCCTACACTCATTTGGGTTTCCTGTGCATACATATGTGAAGTTGCTGTTTTTACACAATACTCATGCACAAGCCAAGAGAGGTGAGCACATGAGAGGTGAGGGGTAATAGTATTCAACTGCCATGTTATTCTACTACAACTCTCAATCTCCACTTACTGTATACTGGTAAATCATTACAGAACACTAGGCAAAGTCTCTTAATTGATTGCTGTTTATTTTTTCTTATTTGTATTGTACACTGCATATGAATGCCTTACATGCCATTTTCATGGCCATGCAAGAATCGAGTTGCCCGGTTAGCTCAACTGGCTAAGCACCGTTCTGCTGAGCTGGAGGTCGCGGGTTCAAACCATGGCCGAACCAACACCCAGGGTCTTAAATAACTGAGAAGAATGTGCTGCCTTTGTTGTGACATCTACAAATGGTTAGACATTCTAGTCTTCTCAGATAAGGACGAAAAACCGTAGGACCCGCCTCACAGCTCTTTCACTGTTCTGACTCTTGTGGCACATAAAAGAACCCACACTGCTGTTACTAAAGGGTAGGGGGCATAGACCCTGGTGGTGTGGTAAAACCTTTAATGGGCTGGATGGGTGATGAAGGGGTTGATATCAATATTTTATTGGGACATTAGTCCTGTTTCATCCTTTGTCACCGTGTTGAGTCACTGTGGCGAATTCAATAAAGTAATTCAATAAAGAGTCAAGAATTGAAACGGACTGTCAACTTACTTTTGAACAGTCCTGTATTTACTTTATCAATAATAATCATAATGTGTAAAGATTATTACCGCACATAATTAAGGCCCTTTGCATGATGGTGCAATTTTATTATTACCACCAGAATCCTTCAGGGTTTTGCTTTCTTGTGCAAATTTGGGCTTTTGCTATTTAAACCTCACTGGAATTACAAAATTTAAAAACAAATGAATTCTGGTCTTAGTAGTTAAAAGACGTCATCATGCAAATGACCAATTAAACATAGTGCAAGATAAATAGTAAGGATGTTTTTACTATTTTACAAAGAAAATATCCTTACCTCTTGTACTAAGGGTTGCTGAAAAAGTGGTATGAGAGGATTTGTCCTTGGAATATCAATATGAATCTGTTGACAATAAACAAGCAACAAAATTTGATATTTTTCACAATTAAAATGAGGATAGAACAAAATAATCTTGAATAATACCTGTCTAAATGTGTCATGATATGTATCTTCATATCTTGTAGGATAATACTGTTTGACAAAGTTGTGGTACTCATCACGCTTTCGATCCAATGTTGACTGCCTTCTGTCAATATTTGCTGGTAAATAGCCCTAATGATATAGTATTGAAATAAAAATTAGAGATGTTAACCTCTGGAGATCTAAAAAACTGACGATTCTCTTTTGCAGTACTGCCAACATCATTCACGCAACCACATTTTTAAAACACAAATCGACTCAGGCCTAATGGGCATGGCTCAGGACATCTGAAGTCTTACATGTGCTTGAAGTACACACCACTTTTTTGACAAAATTGTCTTGTCACTGATAAAATATGTGCAAAACTGCCACAGAAACCATTGGTACTATGAATTTTTATAACAAAGGGGTTAATTCCAACCTAAAGCACAGAGAAGCAGAAAATTGAATTTTATTTAGGAAAGTTGGTAACCTGTATGTGGGAAGGTAGATTTATGCCGTATCTTAGAGACTCCTGAAACAGTCTGCGAGAGTTGCTTTGCTGAAGAAACATAGCAACATAGGAGGCAATTACAATTCAACAAACTTACACAAAGTAGCTGCCAAGTTGTTGGGCGTACAGTGACTGGAATACCTGACCAACTCAATTTCCTTATGGCCTCTGAAAATGTAAAAGCCAAGATCAACAACAGTTACTAATAACATTATTGTGACAGTATGTAAAAATATTATATTCTTGCCTAGATCGGTGTTGGGACCAGCCAGAAGCTTGCCAAATTTTTCAAGTTTATGGATTTCTTGATCTTGAAATTCCAGTTTCACTGCTCTAATGGGAGACGGGGGCTTAGGCGGCTGCACAGGGGGAGGTGGTGGGGAGTGAGCTGATGATTTTGAAGATGACTGATTCTTGTGCCGTGCTGAAAAATAAATAAGCATACAGTGATTTTGAGTATGAAGTATGAAGGCCCGATACTGACACTGAGATCCACTTTCATTCAATGTGATTTGCAAAGGTGAGCAGTCGCATTTCAATGGTGGAAAGTTTGAATTGTTCAATGTTGTTGGGTCTACCATAACTATTTCCAAACTCATTAATAACTCATAACAAGACTAGTAAAAAAATTTAATCAAACTATCATAATGTACATTTGGATATTGGTTATAGACTTTAGTCATGATTTTCTCCAAAGATGTCCATCGTGGAGGGGGCTGACTTTAATCTTTTACATCACTTATAAACTATTCAGGGTTTTAATTAAGAATTCTAGTGGCCTGGGAGAAACGTGTAGCGTTACAGGAGAATAGTGTGAAAGAAGCACCATGTCTGAATAAAAAACAGTCATAGGCTATCGCATGTTAGCTGGAGAATTCTGTGTAGTAAACAGAGAATTCTCCAATCTCTGACGCCTAATGACCACCCTGACTATTCAAAAAAAGTAAAGAAGACTCAGATGCGTCAATGATCAAGGAAGAATCTATGCTTCTTACTTAGTAAACTTAGTGGAGAAGGTCTTGACGTTTTGTTTTCTTCTCTTTTGACTAACTGTTCTGGAAGCTTTTTTGTTTCCTTGGCCACATTAGTAGGAATGCTTTCCCTGACATCACCCCCACTGATTGTACGGACAAGAGACTGGGACAGTACATTCTTTTTCTCCTCGGGATCCACCTTAATGGCATCATCGTCATCTTCACCCCAGGCATCACTTGTTTCGTTGTTAAATTCCTGGAAACTTAGGGGTTTAGGTTTTACCTTACCATGAACGCTGAAACAATAAAAATGTTATGAAGGCAGATTAAGCTCAGGATAAACAAGTAAATTATTTCATAATGCTCACCATGGTAACAAAGGGGTGGTTTCACTTTTCTCTATTATCACAGTAACTGTATCAGCACTGGTGAAGGCAGGTTTTTTCAATAGGGTACCCAACAGCCCTCCACCCTATATATACCCTCTTAAATTTTGAAACAGAATTCCAGCATTTAATTTCAGGATATTCCCCCCACCCCACCCCCCCCCCCAAAAAAAAAGAGAACTACTTACCGAATAGTTTAATAGACCTTTTTACCAATACGGCAGCCATATTGAATTAATTCGATTTAAAGAGTATTATAGGATGCCCAGGGGGCATGAGCACATTTCGTTTGTATTTTCAAGCGCTTTTCAGGATATTTTTTCGTAAAGTTTTCTTAGAACAAGATTGTAATGGGAAAAAAAAGATCCTTGTGCCATGTTTGGATGTAATAATGATCACCTTTTTCACGAGAAATATACAGTGAAAAACCATATTTCTAATACTAAACTAGCAAAAGGGGATCATTATTACATCCAAACACGGCACAAGGATCTGTTTTCCCATTACAATCTTACACAAACGAAATGTGCTCATACCCCCTGGGCATCCTATAATACTTCTTAAATTGAATTAATTCAATATGGCCACCGTCTAGGTAAAAAAGGTCTATTCAATCCTTATTTTACCTTGCACACTTACATTGTTAATGAGATGTATTAAAACCTTGAATTTTCACAATAACACTTCTTCTTTTTCTTTTTAATTATAAAGAGGAACTGACTTTAGGTTCGTCACATTGAAAACTGAGCATGCCATCTATCAGTTTTATTTCTGTTATAACAACACTGTTTGTCAATATCATCACTTCACCGATCATCACAGGCTGTTTATGTAGTCCTCTGAGAGGATATGAGGCAAAGAATAGTCTGTTCTACGATAACCATAAAAATGAGAAAAAAAGGATGGTGCTGGGTATCAAACCTGGTACCTCTGCCCCGAAAAAAAAAAAAAATGTCTGCAAAACAAAATCACTTGTTGCGGCAGTAAAATTGTGTAGCAACTTCTAATCAACATGTGCACTTTTTCAAAAGCATGACACAGGTCTTTTATCACGTAAGGTTGGTCAGGCAACCACAGGCAAAGTTTTAACTTTTACAGATACAGTTCGGGGACTATTGAGTTGGCAAGAAATTTCTTGCCAAGATTAAGCACGTCATATTGGAATTACCATAAGACGAAATTTTAAAAATGCCAGTTGTTTTGAATTTATGCAAATTTTTGACATTTAAGTCGAATGTTTACAGATTTAAAGTGACAGTTTTGATTAAAATGTTCAATTGTTGGGCTTAAAAAAAGAAAAAAAGACTTTTATTGTTAGAAATTCATAGGAAAAAAGGGAAATAGCAGGTATCCAACCCAGTACCTTTGCTCTGAAAGTTACATGTTAATGCCATGTCCTACAAGGTCAATAGGACAGGACTAACGGACTTATTTACATGGTCATTGACACTTTCACTGGCTACAAGCCAGCAAGTACAAAAAGTATATCAAGGCCATAGTAGTAGTGAAAGCAGATTATAAGGTGCCTCCGCTCAACCCCCCCGCCACCCCCAACCCCTCTTAACTCATAAAAATCAACCAGTCCATACACACTCCTTGTAGTTACACCTAATAACCCCCTCTCCTTGTTTATCATCCTTCAAAAGAAATTTTTTTGACATGTTGTTCAGTAACTACAAATGCAAAAAGCTAAGCAAAGTAATATTGTGTAAAATATCTGAGTGTGTCATTCAATGTCATTGTCTTGTTTCTTGGTCAAAATGAAAAAGAAAAATTTCTGTACATAACAGACAGGATGCATTGCTACAAGCCTTAAGAATATTCTTGTGGTTTCCCTGTCTCTTATTTTTTTCCTTGTAATTATCATTACACTATCATAATTCTTAAAATTCATTTAAAAGCAACAAGGACATATCCTCGTGATCATACACAGATCTTTTAACATAAAGAAGACTAACTGGAAAAAAATTAAGCTTAAATATCACAAAAATCATATTTTAAATATTTTCCTCTAGAAAAATATCATTGATGACGGAAACAGTAGAATTATGAAATGTATTTAAAGGAATATTTTTCAAATATTATTCATTTTTACAGTTAGTTATAAACAGCGTTATTATTAGTTGGAAGGTTACGAGATACGATTTTTTCTCTCTATTCGCTCTACAGGAACGTTTGGTATCATTTAATAGTCAATAAGCCTTTCAGTTAATAAATTGAAGTACATCGCAACAACTTTTAACAATAGAACTCATCAAATTGTCATTGTCTGATCTTCTAAGAACAATTTTACGCATTGCTATGTACATTTTACTGTTATCTTTTAGCATTCATCATCAAAATCAAAACAAGTATTAAGCTCAAATACTTAAGTGCTGATTCGCCGAAAACCAATAAATTTCAAGTAAACAAGAAACTCGCTTTCTCAGCGACAATATAACACGAGTACAAAAATCTGTAATCTCTCTCTTTTTGCCATCGCGATCTAAAACTCGCTAGAAATATTACTTTACTCCTACTTTGACCTGAAACGTAAACACTTAACTAACCTTGTTTGCCCATGAACTGCGGAAACACTTGTTGAAGAAGAGAGTAAATCTTGTCCGCCATGTGCGGGTTTAATACTGTTTAAAAAGCACATTTAAGTCAACACAAGGGCTTCAAAAATTGCCGATGCCTCTCAAATAAAAAACGACAATACCTTCCAGGCAATTTACTTGTGTTCCTCTTCCAAAAGGACTTTTTTGGGCTGCCAGTTTCAAACGTCACTACGGGAGAATCCTCAAGACTGGGAACTTCGTGTTCAATTGTGTTGAATTGTGTCCCCAGCGCTATGACGCGCTCTTTAGCAGCTTCGCTCATATTTTTTGACAAAGCTGCTTTATCGGCCCATCTTTGATTAAACGAAGATTACATTTTTTCGCACAAAGAAATCAAGATCGCGAACAAGACCAATTTCCTGATGATATTTTGTCTTCGATCCAATATGGACGAATGAACAGGATCAACCTTTATGAGTGTATCCGCTAGCAAGTGCTGTTTGCAGGCCTTTAATACCGGAAGTAAGTTGTGACCCATCGCAGTGTAGCAAGAACATACATGTATATATTCCTGCCACAACATCTTTCCTTTCCACATGCATGTCTCGTATAACTAATATATTCACAATATCTATGAGTATTTTGTCTACGGGAACCGTTTGGAAACCAAACTTTGATTTGATTTGTAACACTATAAAACTATTGTCAACATATGGACAAAACAAAGATATACTGAAGGGAAAAAAAATGTTCTCTTGGTTTTTGCACTGTACAACCTTCTCTTTTATACTGACTTTCTTTGGCTATTTTTACTACTGCTGATCGTTATTCAATGCACAGTGAAACCTTTTTTGGAGTATGCAAAACTGCCAGTGTTCGAATAAAAGTTTAATGCTCTTTGTTTTTTTGTAGTTCCTTGCATAGAAATTTAAGGCGTTGCTGTCGACTCGGAATTAATTTTAAAATTAAATGCCCTCTGGACTTTTTCTTCTTCAGCTGCCCTTTCTGAGGACACAGGTCACTTACCGGAAAAAGAAAAATCACCTGTACGCTCTCGCCCTAATTTCTACTAAAATCACCAACGTATAATTGAAATAAATTATGACTTTTTCATTACACTGATTTTGTAGCCGCTAATCTCCATGTCTTTCCCAAGTCGCGCGCGTGAGCGAGTACGCCACGCAAGCTGGCGTGTTGCTATTACACTGTAATGATGTTCCATCGGCATTTCTATTTAATACAGATCTAGAGTAGAAGAAATTGAACACTGAAATACATCGCAGTATAAAGAGTTTAGCTTTTTATATATCGATACCGGAATGTGAAATGTAGAATAGCGTTTAATCACTGAGAACAAGTATTTTAAAATTTTCAAAGGCTTACTCTCTTGTCACAAAGATCAAGGTTTGAAATCTGAAATACTAAAAATTATCTATTAGGCAAATTTTCGAGCCGATTAATAATTTGTTAGCTGCGTCAGATGTAAAAGAATTTTATCTAACCAACCATAAGTACAATAAGACATCAATCGGAGAAAATTTACCTGAATCCTGACAACAGAGAAACTTCTTCGTCTTGGCTGGCGAAGTCATTTCCGATGGCCGACAGTGGGCATAAGAATTTCGCGAACAAAAGCGAGCGGCTGTTGGTCTCTGAAGTGTTAGATGAAAGGCTGGTGGATTCAGTCAAGTCCCTGTTCATCTATGCATAAGATTAATCCGCCAAAAAGGATCTGTATATCGTAAATATGAGCTAGACATTTACAATCACTGTAAATAGGTAATACGAAAGCGTGTGGAAACAAATCTGGCGTGACACAATTCTCGTATTGTCGCGTCACCTGACACCTTTTACAAACTTCCGGCGCATTATCAAACACACACACCCCTCGCAAATAAATTACGCGGCACGCTTTCTGCTCCACAGAGGCCTCTCTGCCCAATTCAGAGAGTTAGTATAGAAGGAAAGAAAGAGCAGGGAGGAGCCTCTTTTTGCCATAATTCACTGACCATTTTTTTTAAATTTTAAAAATTCAAATTTGATTTTTGGTCCTGACGCGAGATACTGGCCACACGCTCAAAGGAGAAGGAGGACACTCTTTCGTTCGTGCGTACCACTACTTTTTATTTAATTTATTCTAAATTTTATTGTTTTTTGGCGCGCGTCAATTTAGTGGTTTATACGCTTACCAGGCTTGGTGTATCTTAAAGAAAGCAGAAAATAAAACATAAAGATAATGGTACGAAAGGATATGAGGAGGGGAGGGGGGGTTAAATCTCGACTCCAATTCCTTCGATCGGCTAGCTTGGGAGGACCAAGCGGGGTAAAGAATCACAGAGGATACAGCTTCATGTACAAGGACCAAATGACACACAGCGATACGTTAATTCTTACATTTATTTCTGGAATTTTTTGGCTTAAGAACTGATTAGAAATATAAGAGAGTATGGACGTTTTGAGATACATTATTCCTACAACTTGGTATTCAAAAACGTTACCAAACATTTGTCCTACTATTTATACGCATACACAAGATATCAGTATTATTTTTAAAAATAGAATAGTGTTTATTGTATATATTGATTGATATAAAACCAAATTTTATTTTATTTAAAGTATATTCATTGTCGTACTCTTGGCATTTATTCAAGGAAATGACTACAAGAATGTTCTTGCATAAAACATTTCAATCATTTAAGCTTAAAATACAACGTGGGCACATTAGAAGTAACGAGAGCTAAGCTGGCCGCTATTTCCGACTTGCATGAAATTTTTTATATACAAAGTCGGGGCTCACGTAATTTTGTTATTAAAACGGCAAACGCGAATTTGTACCACGCGACCAAGTCACGGTTTCCCCTGTACTTGTCGTTTACTGTTTATTATTTCATTTCTATACATAAATTAGTAGTTTCACGCAATTTTCATCCATAAGAATCGTTTTGAGCTGTTTTTATTTGCTCATTTTTTATTTCGAGAATTTCTCAACTTGAATCTGAAGTAGTGCCGTTTGCCGTATAAGTGAAGCTTAAACTCTCTTAATATATTGAACTTCAATGCAGGGCTTTCTTTATAACAGTTGCAACAGCCTCACATTTAACGCTGTTTGTTCCAACATTACCCATGGGAAGGCACTCCTCCGAACAGACATTCCGTGATGATTCTAACTTGCTTACCTCCACCAGAGCGAATTCTAAGCGTTACATTACCACAAGTTGTGTTTGGATAAATATTCTCCCATGATTTTCTCAACCAATCGCGGTAGTTCCCTTTTTTCCCCTGCGCTCGACACCGGTCTTGTGAATTTAATTAATTCGACCTCTGATTGGTTCACTGGACGACGGCGTCAGCCTCTGATTGGCTAACATAATAACTTTGTGGTTGGAAGTACAACAACCAATCAAAACCACTCTAAGCGGACGCCCGTACTCGGCAAGCTTTTACCCGTGCTCTTTCAGACACAACGTTTTTGTTAACCAAAGGTGGTTCTCTTCTTAACAGAAATTAAACGTAGCTCCAAGGGCGTTCTCTCATGGAATGAACAGCATTTGTACGATGTTTAAATATCTAGACTTTACGTACAGTTATTGTTAATAAAGTTACTTGATACTTTCTGAAGAGACTGTATAAAGTCGTAAGTACTTGAATTCCACACGAATCGCATGCATAAGCATTATCAGCTTAATATAAACTGAAATAAAACCAAACCTACTTCCCCGCGACTGACTAAAGAGAACTGCTAGCCAAAAATATTAGCTAAGAAAGGACTCTTAAATCTTTGCAGTTGGCGCTGTAGTACTTGAATCTAAGTCTAATACGAGGTTTAGTTAACTTCCGGTTGATTCGCTTCAGGTTGCTGCATTTCCTCTTCCGGTTTCGGTGCTTCCTGTTGTTTTAACCTCTGTAACTCTTTGGACATGGCATCGACGTCCTGCAAACAAATCGAAAACAGAACAGCTTGAGCATTAACGATTGTATAAAACAGTATGTTGCATTGAGACGAAAATAAATAAATAAATGTTGTAGGGAAAAACAGCATGCAACAAAGTTTTTCGTCCAAAGAAATCCACTTTCATTGATCAAACTCTGAGAATTTTCAATTTTCTTACCCTCTGAAGTTGCACGTTTTTTGTGAGTGTCTCTTCCAGCATTAGCTGGATTTTCCTTGTGTTCTCTGCCTTCCCTTTACCAAAAGGAGACTTAATCTTCTCTTTCAACGCCGAAATAGAGGCTGGTGATGATTTTGGAGACTCAGCTACCGGACCTGAGGAACAACGAATCAAACAAAACAACATCATTGGTCACGAGATTGCCTTGGTTTTACGTTGTTGTGCTTTGTGATTGGCTGAAAAATCTCGCGCCACTTTCTAAGCCAATCAAAAGTAACACCAAACCCAATTCGTGACCAGTTCTTTTGTGTTTTTCCCGCGCTTGCCGCCCGCTTCTAGTAAGGTCGCAAAATCAGATTGACTCATTTGAAGTTCAGCGTGTGTTGTGACAGAATGACAAATTTTATGACACTCATTGTAAGACCGCTGTACAGGAAAAAAAATCGTTTCTTGCGTTTGTAACCGAGATGTTTTACAGTACATGAGGGATGAATGCCTTTGAGGAATCCCCCTGTTAGCGACTAGTTCGGTAATAGAATTGTTAAAAAACGCAGTCACCTTGTTAAATTCTCCATTACCTTCAAAAAACCTTCAGTAAAATGCCAAGGACTTAATGAACGCGATACAATCTGCTTTTTTGCGGTTGTCATAGATGGCACAACATTTTCACTCACCGATTTTCGTCTCCATGGCGTAAGCTTGGATTATGGCCGACTTCTGAATTAAGTCTTCCGCTAAAGCAGCTGCATTTTCCTCAAGATGATGTACCTATGAAGTAGACAAGGTCAATCCGTGGGGAGCTGTAACAGTAGAGATGGAAGGGGGGGTGGTAGGGGAGCGTCATGAGTAACCACTTAATTGACAAAATCCTTTATCAGAGTGTAATGGTTAACAATAAAATGTTACGAAACTAAAATGTTTAGAAGGCTCAGTGGTACAGAAATTATTTCCGTTTTACCCTAGATGCACTGATACCTACAAAAAGTACCTCTAAAAACACCTTATTTCGAAGTAAAAAGAAACAGCATTTAAAATTATCCTCTACCAGCCAGAGAGTATAACATGGAGAAATGGTTTTCAGTCTCTTGAGTGATCGTCCGTTCAGGGAACCTCTTGAAGATGGATCCTGAGTTTGTCCTTGGAATTTTTTCACATCAATTACCACTAGAGTATAATGAAAAGAAGTGCTCATTCTTTTCTTGTTATCACTATAATTTGTACCTTCTCTTCTAGCAGCCACTTTTCTTGTTGGACGTCTGCAAGCCTTTCTATGAGGTCAGTGGTGTCATCATTGAGCATGCTCACTGTGGATGCAGCAGGGCTTGGAGGCTTTAAAGACAACAACACATTAAACACTCAGACAAACGAAACAGAGAGAACTTGACAAAATTCTCAAGACCTATCATACCCTAAATTCAGGACTGTCCAATTCACTCCTCGATGGATGACTTGATGAATCACTGAAAAGAAATGCGGAAATGGTTATTTCACTCAGTATTTCCATGGCACTCTCAGTTCTTAGCAAACATTGAGCGGAAAATGACTTACTTACCCGCTATTTCGACGCTGATTTTCTCTTACAGGAGAGAATAAATCTTCAAATGCTGGAAAGGAAGAAGCAGCAAATTGTAATAGCGTGTTAAGTGTGATACTTTTAATTTTCCTGTAGTAAACTCTATGGCGGAATTTATGGATTCATTGCTTCTTTCTTTTAGTACCTTCTTTAAGCATTTTAATTAAACGGAACAACATGATTTCAGGGTACCCATTCTAGTCACGACGAAGGTGGACTTTCAAAAACAACAGTGAAGTAAATAATATCCAAGATAACGGCGCACAGAAAATTTCCAAGGAAAGGAAAAGCATAGAGATTTAGACTCTAACTCCAACATTTCTTTTCACTCCAGTTTGGTACAGCAGAAGAGGCTCTCTTTAAAGAAAAAAAAAAAAACATACCGGGTTTAACTCGGTTCTCCGATAAGGCGTCTTGTAATTTCTGCTGTAACTGCTCTGCTCTTTTCCTTTCAAGCTTCAACTGACGTTTCAGATCTTTAACCTTAAGGCAAACAAAAAACGAGAAGAAATAATTCAATGACATTGTCTCGATTAGCCCTAAAGGCTATTACTGCTACTCGTGTTTCTGCCTCACTGTGCCATCAACGCACGTTGTACACGCGATGCGAATTAATTTCGACCAAAAAATAACCTTCTTTCGTCCCTCGCTTCGCGAGAAATTATTTAACAATTAATGAATGAGGCTGAGTATAAAACATGCTTACCTGCTTAAGTTCATCTTCGATAGTGCACATTTTAGGGTTGTTCAGCTCCGCAAATATTCTCCAAATAGAAGATGTCGCGCTTCGAGTTGTGTTCTTTCTATGTTTTTAGCTATAATTTCCCCTAGTTCTTACTCCTGAAACGAGTGAAATGTCCGCCATTTTTTGTTTTCGCAACCAAAACAACACAACCTCGTCCTCAGGTCCTCTCGGTTAACGGTTCATTAACCTGCAAGAACGCTGCATTTTTGACGTCATTTCCTCGTTAAACACAATATTCTTCCAAATTTGGTCATCAGTAACTGGTTATGGTGAA